CAGGTGAACTTAAAAAGTGTATGCATATCTGATCTTATGCACGATGTCCAGCACTACATAGACCACTTTAGTTGTGTAAGGGACCCCATGAACTCCTTGTGATCAAAACTATTTCACATAAACAGTGATTGAAAGTTGAGTAGATTCTTAACTTAAAGCAGCATTATGGAAGATTAGATGGATAAAGAACTGACAGTTCTCACTGTAATAGTTAATAAATAGATAATGTAAAGGGAATATGCTGAAAATTTCAATCAAATTACTTCAGTCTGAGCTGAGAAGACCCCATTTCAATAACACTGTTATTGTTACCGTTGTTACAATAATAAATAAAGTCTCTATTATCCATTTTTATACACCCACATTTATACGTCTGTCCACAATTTGTTTGTAGACATTCTACTATTCACAATTTTTATCCGATTTTGACGAAACTTGAAATATAGGCTTATATCCAAAAGATCTCGGTTCTTTTCAATATTGGCATGTATCAGACTTTAACTTCATGGATTATGGCCCTTTATTGTACAAAACATCACTATCACATTTCTAGCTTGTGGACACTCTAGAGATCACAATTTTTATTTGATTTTGATGAAAAGTAAACCATAACTTCGAATATATCCCTGTTACACTGTGAAAATTGGACCTAAACTGCTGGACAAAATGACCACTCCCTGTATGCAAATAGTGTTAAAGTATGTAATATCAAGGTTGTGGATCTTCTGGAGGTCACAATTTTGATCTGATTTTGATTAACCATGTGTTTATATCCCAACGATCTTGATTCCTTTCGATATTCGTGCATGTTATGGCCCCAGATCGTACAAAAAATCACGATTTTAGCTTGTGGCTCTTGATGTCACAATTTTTATCCGATTTTAAAAATTGTTTATATATTTCACCGTTACACCCTGATGATTGTTGACTTTGAATTTCGTAAAAATCAGACCGAAACTGCCCGACAAAATGGCCACTGCTTGAACGCAATTAGCGTAAAGTATGTAATACCAATGTTGTGAACCCTCTGGAGGTCACAATTTTTATCAGATTTTTAAAAATATATGTTGATATCCCAAATAGTTCCTTTCGATATTCTCGCACATCGGACCATAATTTCATGGATTATCTGGATTATGACCCCTGCATGTATGAAAAATCGTGTTTTTCGCTTGTTGTTCCTCAAGAGGTCACAATTTATATCCGATTAAAAAAAAAAATGTTTAAATTTATCACCGTTAGAAAATAATGACAGATGACTTCGAGTTTCTCTGTACGCAAATAGGTTGTGGACCCTGTAAAGGTCACTTTTTCTTTAACCGATTTCAATGAAACTTATGTTTATATCCCAAAGATCTAGGTTCCTTTTGATACTTGTTGGTATCAGATCGTAACTTCCTGAATTATGGCCCCTGATTTTACGTAAACACCCTTTTTTTTTAGCTTGTTCTCTGTCCATCTCCTGCCAAATGTGAGCGTATCCTGTCTCGCAACCGCTGATCGGATTTAAATCTTTTGTAAATCGGACCCACCAGATGGTATTGAGTGTTGATTATGATCTTGTCATGTTAATAAATGTCTAATTAATAGTTTATATAACATTTAAGGCCAAAAGAAAGACCTGCAAGTCTGAGAATGCTTTGTGAAACTGGGGCCAGATGTTTTGGAAACAGTATGCCTTACGCTCGACTTTATACATATCGCTAAATAGACCACTGAATTTCAGAAATTATTGCGTTTTAAGATAACCTTGAGGCCATGAGTAAAGTCACACGCCCACCTGTCACCCAATGGTTTTAATTTGGTATATATTATGATTATTTTATAATTGTATCTCCGATTACTTTTACTCAGTCATCTTTGGTTAAATAGTTTTTTAGATAAAATCAAAATAAATCAAGGGTTTTGTTCACAAAAAGCTATAAATATTATCGAATATATAATAAACGTAGGCACTAGTAATAATTTGGGTATTAAACTGTCATATTTACAAAATTTATATCAGAGGCATGGAATTTTTGTTCAAATAATGATTTTCAATGAGCAGCAAATTTGCTGATGCATGGATACGATTGTCGTGATTGCTTTTAGTGCATTGATGCATAAAACTTTATCTGATATCAGCACTACAATTTACTCACTACTATAAGTTATATACTTGGTTATCCAGACACACATACTGTATACTGTAGCGAGGAATTGAGGACTAAGATTAATTTGAATATGAAAGTTTGTACCACAGAACATCAGATAGTTGCACAGGTTTAAGTTACTAGAATAAATGTTTTTTAAAGATTTTCTCACAGAATTAACCAGTTTTATACCTTAAAGTATATCTGAGACTGTCTCAAACACACAACATAAACTCAAACTCAACCAAGTTTAAATAATGAATTAAACTTCATACACATTTTAAAGACTGTCCATCTCATGGTAAAACATGTATTACTGGCGGAAAACCCCTAAAAAAAAAAATGACAATAGAGGTGTAAGTTTATATTGCATGGTTAAAATATTTTGGTGTAGTCAGTGTTTGGGAATTCAAGTGGCTGTGTATCAGTTGAGTCAGTCTAATGAATGTTGAAATGTACATGCCTATAAATAATTTTAAAGGTGCACAATTCCAAACTGAAAGCAGTTATAGACTTTAGGTCAAACACATTATTGGGAAATGCAAAAGAGCATATTGGTCCTAAAATTAGTTAAATTGATCAATCCTTAAAGCATGTTATGGCTATAGTATCTGAAGTTCCTATTGCTAATGCCACCATCTTGCTTTTCTCTAAAAATTGTTACCAGACTCCTGAACGATATATTTCATTTCTATCCACAAACATTGAACTTAAAAAAGCATCTAACCTACATGTTTGTTTCATGGTTTAGATTATTAATAGGATACTTTATGTCCTTATTTTCTTTAAATTTAAATGATTATTGGCCTTCTGGCACATTGTGGAATTAATAAGTAAGCTTATTGATTTATGAAAGCTTTAGGTTCTGAATACGATAAGTTCTGAAAACACTTTACAACAAGACACTGTGAACCGTATGTATATTATTATACCTGAACAATGAACCTACATTTATATACTGTATAGGTGTACTATCAATCAATAATCAATGCTCTAGCATTTATTAAAGGAGAACTTTAGATGGTGTGGATTTTTATATATTTTTTTAAATAAAATATTTATTTATTATATAGTATTAAAAAATATTTTCACACCTATACATGAAAAGGATAAATGGTTTTACATTTAATTTAATGCATTAACAAGTTGGATGTGAGGGTTTACTGTAAATCAGTAAAATGATAAATAAATAAATGTTTTCAACCTTTTAATCAAAATCGAAACAATTTGCACATTAGGTTGTACATGTATGAAACTATTTTGTTCTTGATAATAAAAACAAATTATAAAGAATCTGCAACAACTTGAGTTCCCCTTTAACTATATTGACTGAAAGTTGTTTATGATTTCTGGGCTGGATACTCCTTTTAAATAATATGTATATTGAAACATTAGTGTTGGAGGTGGTTGGATCCCAATGGCTTTGATTTACTTAAATTTGATGGAAAATGAAATTCATGTTCTAAAGTGACCTGTATGTCACAATTTTGTTTTATTTTTATTGCTAAAATCAGAAATAAGTTACTTAAAGTTCACCTTCAGGACAAGAATCCTTCATATAACAGGCTGAGCCCTCCTTCAACATACACAACTACTCACATCAGCCCAAACTACATGTACAGTATCTTAAACCTTTAGTACATGTAGCTAACATTGAGGTCCCATGTTTGATCCCGGTATTTGCCGATAAAGTTAATCTGGATTTTCCGGCATGGTTCCTCCTTGTATACTAGTTCAAATGAGACAGAAAGCAAGGTCCTATAAGAGTAGTCTGTAGCGCCACAGTCCAGGCAAAATTTCGCTCATAGTCATAGCATACTGTATGGCGTACGCCAGTCTGCATTAGCCCAGTGCGAGCAGAAAAGTAGCATGCTAAACTTCTTTCATTTGAAATATTGACTACTGTGGTTTCTTGAAGAAAATTAGAGAAAGGTCATGGAGGCACCACAGCTACTCTTTTGACTTGGGCTTGTCCTCTAGATTCACTACCAACTAACCTACAGAAGGAATCTATAGATGAGCTCGTTATCTGTTGGACTTTTCTTAGAATTATTTAAAACAGCTAACATACATGTAAGAACATTTCTTTAAAAAATCATCACATTTTAAAAAAATAATAGGCTGGTATAACCAGTTACGCCTGGTTTCATGCAGTCCAAGTGCTATAGGGTAGGGTTAATAACTGAAATATCCGTCTCGTCTATTGGTTGTTGTTTTACAAGTTTACAACAATTAAAAAATGGAGCTGGTATGTAAATTATCCAATTGAGATAACAATGACTGCTTGTTGTTTAAGTTTGAGCAATTGTAAAATGATATTGAAGTAGGTTTATAAGTAGAATTTGTTAATTAGTGAACAAGTTTTATGCGAAGTTAGGAGAACAGTAATTGTTTCATCTTTATGATGTCTTGGTTTTACAACATTATGTCTTATACATTATCTGGACTGCATTAACTAAAGTTGTCTGTTGTGAACATAAATTGTTTAGTTTTATGTCATCTTTACAAAATCATGGCAGAACAATATGTTAGTTTATTAATAGTTTAATGTCATCGGACTGCATGAACTAAAATTTTCCTGCTTACATTTAGCTGAAAATTATTTTATAGAGAAACTTTTTGCCCTTCACGTCTGTGCAGGGTGCAACACTACAAATTTAGCTGAAGTATTATTGATATTGTGACTTACTGTTAATAAGCAATAGTTGTATATGTACCTATGTTCTTATTTTTGTTAGAAATTGTATATATACTGTATACTGTATAAATTTTTGTATATACTGAATAAATTAATGTGTATATATGCTGTATAAATTTTTGCGACCAGTCTAATAGACATAATATTATTTTTCACTTTATATTTTTCAGACGAATGCCATTCATAAAGCTATAAATAGTCAAGAAACACCAGTTAAAGAGAAGCATGTTAGAAGTATCCTTTTTATTATGATTTGGTGATTAAAATGAAATCTCATGGGCTGTATAAAGTGGTAGCTATATAAATCAACTAGAACACATGCTTATGAAAGAACAATTACTAATTTATTTTTGGAATGTTTCAAAGTGTTGCAAATGGTTTAATGTGTGTGCTTTAGATCATAAGGTCTGTCATTGAGTCCAAGTGGTGTGGTTTTGATCCCTTGCTTGTACATGACAACAAGAGTAGTTTAATCTGTTCTGCCTCATGGGTTTGCTCTGGGTCCTCCAGTTTCCTCCCTACGAGCAAGCTAATCATTGAAATAAAATTGAACCATAGGTTAGTCCCGAAATGACCTAGCTTACGTTGAATGGAAGTTACACCCCATCCCCACTATCTCTACTAGAGATGTTTATGTACCAACAGGTAACAAAAGTGACTTTAACTTTATGAAGATACAATTTTGGGCAGTTTCCAAGATGGAGGAGCAAGTATGTTTTGGACAATCACTGGCAAACTTCCACTTCAAGGCAATCCTATTGTTTGCTGGAAGTTTTGCCATGTGCTACATAAGCTGATGAGAGATGGACACCAACATGTAAGTTTGTTTTACTAAGTAAATTATATTATTGGACTTCACTGAAGTTATATTTGCCCAGAATTTGTCCTCTCCATTTATTTTTATTGACCAAATAAACCTTCCTGAATATAATTGTTCATGGTGTAGGCCTTCAAATTGATAAAGCTCTACTAAATTTACAAATGCGTGGAAACACTTTCGTTCTCTTCTCATCGTTTTACTTTGGTTTCCTTAAGAGGAGAGATTCTGTGTAGTGTTATTGACTGATTTACACATCCGTGCCAGATGATATTTGTAGCAAAAGACAAATATAGACTTTCCGTCCATACTCATTTCTAAGATCTCGATGAAGCTAAAAATTTACTGATGTTAAAGTGCTCACTGGAGTGTGAAAGTGATCATTCTCCTGTAACATGAAGTTTTAAAGAGGAAGGGATGATATTTTATTTCAATTTTTAAAAGAATTGATTTTTGTTTTGCTATAATCATATACCTTAAAGAGGCTTTAATTTGTTCTATAAAAACTTGAATCTCTTGAAATAGTCCTTAGTTCAATCAGTCTTCTTAAAATCTTTATTTCTTTGAAGGGAGTATGGCTCTATTCTTTGCAGCCATAAAATAGACGAAAATGGGCCTTAACAGCACCTATTAATGTAATATGAATGTGTACAAAGTGATATAAATTTGATTTTTTAAAAACTTACTGTAATTTCTAGTCAGTTATGTGTGGTGATATATGTGAACTGTCCAATTTGAATGACAGTCGTTTACACCTGCTTAGTTTCATTCTACACATTTTTCAATTTATTATTTCATCGTTTGTGAAAAGGCAATTACTAATTACTTTTGCATTGTCTTGTAGGATATCTTTTTCTTTGTTCATTACATACGGCACCCGAAACCATAGAAAGCATGACTTGTATTCTGATAATAAAATGTTCATTGTGTCTTAAATATTGAAGATTAGGATCCCATATTTTAATGGCAAGATAACATCAGTATTGATTGAAATAGATCAATATTGAATTCTAATTTGTGTTTTTTATTTTAAATATTATGGAATATGTTGAGTTTGAGGTTTATTTCCTTTAAGTTATAATCAATTTTATAAAAATGAGTTCTATGGAATTAAAATTTTTGTACATAAAGTTCTTGATGCATCTTAAACATGAGATCTTCATTTTTGGTTAAACACTCTGATAAACTTAGTGATCCATGCGGTATATGTCGATACTTTGTTGACCTCAGCCCATAATGCCTTTTATCACCCTTGATGATAAAGAATACCATACACAACAATTCAAAATGATACTTTTAACATAGATTTCACTTTAGCTCAATATAAAATATACTTTTCTTCTTTCTTCTAGGTTGTACATGATTCTATGAAATATAGAAGCCATTTAAAAGATCTGGGAAAATTGTGGGTAAGTTTATAACTAAGTTTATCCTCCATTTCTTGATCTGAACTAAGAAGTTGGAGGAATTATTGGAAACCAATAAGGCCAATTTTCATATTGAAACTACATGTATAGTAAGACCATGCTGAGAAAAATGAATTAGTCTGGGTCCACAAGAAGTCTGAAAGGACAATGTTCTGAATTTTGTTAGATGTAGTGAGGCGAAAGGTGGCATCATATTTATATAAGTATGTCACCGAAACCTGAAAGTCTTATTATGTGATTAGTGAAACATGTTTTGTTCACTGTCTAGTCCTTCGGATGAGATGAAAAACCAAGGTCCCGTGTATACATTGGAATGCACGTAAAAGATCCGTTGGCAGTTGGGATTCAATATAAGAGTAGGCGATAGTGCCGCTGCCGGGGCAAAATTTCCCTCATAGCACCCTGTATGGCGTATGCCCGTCTTCATTAGCCCAGCATAGGAGCAGAACAGTAGGACGTTAAACCCCATTTCATTTCATTTCATGATAACACTAGGAAAAAGTCCATCAAATTTTTATTATTTCTGATTATTACGTTCAGGATGTGTCTTATAAATGTGTCTCTTTAACCTACACTGTCCAACCTGAAGGGTTTTCTCTGGTTTCCTCCCACTACTAAAAACGCCTACGTACAGGTGAATTACTGTATTAAAATAAAATTTGAACCATGTGTTTGTCCTGAAATGACCTGGTTTGTGTTAAATGGACATTAATCTCCATTTCTCTCTGGCTTACCTACAAAATAATAACAAAGCATATGGACTGCTCTGACGACTTAATTACTCTGGGTGTATGTTTCATTGCCTGGCAACATATTTTTATTTATTGTCCCCCGCCTTTCGAAGAAAGCAGGGGACTATTAAAATGGGTTCGTCGGTCTGTCTCTCTGTCTTCTAGGTCAAATTGAAGGAGAGTTATTGTGTCCCAAAAAGTGTGTCCGTCCGTCCGTCACACTTTTTGGGACACAATAACTCTCCTTCTAATTGACCTAGAATGTTTAAACTTGGTGTAGGTGTTTATTAGGTCAATGTCTTGATGGAGTTCGAAGATGAGCATTTTCTGCTTAGGATAAGTAGAGATAAGCAATTTGACTGGTTGATGCTTTGGAACACGATAACTTAAGTTCCAATTAAGTAAGAGTGATGAAACTTGGTGTATAGTTTCATTACATCAATACCTTGACTAAGTTCGATATTGAGCATTTTCTGCTAAGGGTAAGCACAGCGATAAGCAATTAGATTGGCCGAGACTTTGGAACACAATAACTCTCCTAATTGAGCTAGAATGTTCAAACTTGGTGTAGGTGTTTATGAGGTCAATGTCTCGATAGATTGCGAAGATGAGCATTTTCTGCTTATGTTAAGTAGAAGCAATTTGAATGGTTGATGCTTTGGGACACGATAACTTTAGTTCTGATTAAGTGAGAGTGATGAAACTTGGTGTATAATTCATTACATCAATACCTTGACTAAGTTCGATGATGAGAATTGTCTGCTTCGGCTAAGGAGCAATAAGCATTTTGATTGGTCAAGACCTTGGAACATAACAACTCTGCTTCTAATTGAGGTAGACTGTTTAAACTTGATGTAGATGTTCGTCTTGACTTGAGTTCAATGATTAACATATCGAGCTAAAGCTAAGCAGAGATAAGCAATTTCTTTGTTCGATTCTTTGGGACAAGATAACTTTGATTCTATCTGATAGAGAGTGATGAAACTTAGTGTATAGTTGATAATCAGTTTGATTGCTCGATACTTTTGAAAAAAAATAGTTGTGCGATTAATTGATATGTGTCATCTATTTATTTGGGGATTTCGGCGGGGGACATCAGCCTCACTGTTGGCTTGTTTTATACTGTTTATTGAGTAGTTTCATATTTGTTGGTGTTTATTGAAAGGTTTTATAATTGATGTAGACTTCATTAGCCCAGTCAGTGCAGAAAAGTAGGACCTTAAACTTCAATTTCATTTATTTTGAATTATTTTAATTTTTTTTCAGGGACATTTAAAAGAAGGCTATGGTAAACTTATAGCAGCCTATTGTCGGTTTTTAATACAAAGGTTGAATTTTCATAGAAAGGTAGGAACAATCAAACTGTTACCAACAATCAATATCCTAGTGTGGGTAGAGATGAATTTTCAGGACTTTTAAAGCCATTTCTCAATGGTCAATTCCCTCGGATGGGATAAAAAAAAAAGATTTAGGTCCCATGCACAAATTGATAGTGCATATTAAAGATTACTTTGCAGTGGAATTCAAAAGAATAGTAGGTGTAAAAGCCAAAATTCTTCCCACATGTGGCACGGATAAACATAGAAATAAAAATTCTGTATTATAATGAGTAAAGTGTTGATTAGATGTTAAAATCCATTCCATTACAGTACAAAGAATCAAACAACCTACTAGCTCCTTTGAACAAAAATAACATTCATTATTTGTAACGGATACCTGTTATGCAAGAGAAACTTTAAATGGATTGCCAGTGTAATCAGCCCTTAAAATTAGTTGAATAATAAATTGAATATATGTTTGTTTATTTTAGTTTCCACGGATACCAGGCAACCTGACAATGAGTGATGATCAATTTAATAAAATATGTGGAACAGATGTTAATAATTAGTAAGTTTATAATTTGAGTTTTATCAGGAATTGTTGTCTGTAAGAAGGACAATTTTGAATTATCATATCTTTTCTGTGTCATAAAGATATAACTTTTCTGCCACTTAAAGCCCCAACATGTCAGAATAATGATTAAATACAGGGTTTATAATTAAGACCATACACAAACAATTTTTTTTTTTTTTTTAAATAAATCGCTTTATAGTTATTCAGATCTAACACTAACATATGTCATGGCCATTTGAAATTTACATTGGTTTATGTTGATTTCTTAAAGATGGGTTCCCGCTTACAAACTTGGAGATTTAATGCTATATATGGACCAAAAACATATTCAAACTAATTAATTTGTCATAATTATGCTTCAAATCCTTCTCAAACATCGTAATTGCGAAGGAATGCCCTGCTATTAAAATTCGATCAAACCAGGTCATGTTTACGTCACATCTTGGGAGTCCAAGGAGAATTCATTGCATACATAAGACGATGTTGTCTTTAATCGCTTACCATTTATTACAAATATCGAATCCTAATTAAATTCTCGGATTATCCACTACCCGCGTCTTTTTCCATCATTTTTATCTCAGAATGTATTGTACGTCTAACTCTTCATAAAGTTTATAAACTTGTACATCAAGTGCTCAATGTTCACTTGTGACCTTTGACATCAAGTGTGCAAAAGTTCCTAATCGTCGGGCTGTTGATTAGGGGAACCCTTACATGTATGTCCTGTATACGCTCCATGAGTGTTTTTCGGGGAATCCAGTATTTTTCTAGTAAGATTGGATATCTCTACTTTCCATACTTTTATTGGAAATAACCACCCGATAAATACTTTTTTGGGAACCCATCTTTAATACTGGTGATAATTCTAGCAGTTTATAAAAGCCAACCCAGTTTTCATGAAGGTCTTGTACTCTCTAATACTCTAATGTACTGAAATACATAATAACTGTTTATCAAAGCAGTACATATTTATTCCAATAAATTAAATGTGAATTTTATGGCTTGCTGTGCCTTTAATGTGCTTTGATTATTAATAAGCTTCCATGGAAACAGTTATTGTGTAATAATTATTTGAAATTTTGTAATCTATAGATTTCCAATAATGTTAGTAAATGTCAAAATAGATTCTGATTCATTAAATCAATAGTTTATCTTTGTATATGGCCTTGAGATATATTAAAAGATTACATGTAGGCTAGTTACTAGGTAAATAAAGAGGTTTTTTTAAAATGTAATCTCTGTATATCACACATTGTCAGAAATTATATATTAGTATTGTTTATTGTTTAAGTATTATGTGTCACTAATAACAACAGATGACTCATCAGTATTATAATCAACTAGCAAATCAATACAGTATACATGTGTAGATATATGTACATAGAAGATTATATATTGGGATATGTAGGTCAAAGTAAAAGATAATCCATTTAGACCAGTTGTTCAGCTGTAATTGTTATTACTCCCACATTCTAAACATATTATTGTCAACTCTCTACAGGCTACATTTTGTCCCCCAATCTTTTTAACTTATATTATGTTTGCATTAATAAGATAACTTCTGATGATAACTTACAGAGTTATTGACCTTGATTACTTTGTGGAATCTTGTGAATGCTCTAACATTAACTACAAATGTTTTCTGATCTGTGTATTTTTTCGAATTAGTGAATTAAAGAAGCCTATCAAATTTCAATGATTGTCATTAATTAAAGATACATTATGGGAGATAAGATAAAGAGATGGCAGTTCTCGCTATAATAGTTAAAACCTAGATAGTGTAAAGGTAATTTGCTGAAAATTTCAGTCAAATTGATCCACTATGAGCCGAGAAAGAAGCGGGTGAAATTTTTGCATAGTCTCGGTCATCATTACTAAAATCATTAATATAAACAGCATAGTCTTGATTATCTGCTTTTATTGATTTAATTATCAATAGCCGTTAGCGGCATATAGGAATCTAATCCAGCCAACATCGAAGGCTAGCCTTGACATCTCGAGTTTATTATGGTCTGGATAAGTTAATTAATGTCTAATTGATAATTTAGATAACATTTCAGGCCTAAAGAAAGACTTGTAATAAGCAGATTATGCTCTTGCATAATGCATGTTTAACAGTACAGTTATTGCTTTTGCTCTGTTTGTAGAATCTTGTGGACACTCTAGCAACAGAACATACCTCTTGAATTGATTGTATCATATTAGATTTAAATAATTTGTTAATTATATCAAGAGAATGGCTCTAAAAAGAAACTTGTGAATGCTATACCAGCAAAAAAATCATCATCTGATTAAACTTGTGTTCATTGTTTCAATTTTTGCAATGAATAACACTTACAACAGTTCCTGATTCTTATATCTAGAATTATTGCCCTTTACTGCACCATAGAATCTTGGTCATGCTTCAGTGATATCATACAGTATTAAAGCGATTCACATGCTGAGAAACTTTATAGATTGCTCGGGTGACTTAACTTCTTGGTAACCCATCTTAAATCATGTTACCATTGTCTTTTCAGTTTTGAATTTTCTATTGATATGTTAGATTTACTGGATGAAATCATTCATCTACAACAAAATGGTAAGAAAATGATAACTTTTCTGTTTTTGACTATTTTTTAGACAATTTTCAGTGCGTTTAGGCCATTTTATATAAGAAAAACCCAGTTATGATTCTGGTCTTCGATTACCACAGGTAATGCCCTCAGAACTAATATATATGTCTTAATTGACCAGACCCTAGTTCCTTCCATTTACTCATTGGTTTGCACTGCAAATATAGGTTAATTAAAATGAAAATCTAAATTTTTGATTGATTATTGTTATTTCTATCTCAGTGGAATAAATTATTTGAAGCTGACAACAGTGTAAGATTCAAAATAAATTTCATAATTGATTCAATATATCATATTCATATTTGTATTTGTATTGATTTTACCAGTAAATCATTCTCATTGATTTTTTTTTTCAGTTTTTGGGTCCCTGGACATGTCTCGAGCGAATTCTATGACAACTGCTGGCCAGTGTCGTCTGGCACCATTAATATTAGCCATATTGGATTCTTGTCAACTTTATGATTACCTTGTTAAATCTCTATTTAGACTTCATGCAAGTACGTACATAGTGGTATTTTGTATTAAGGCCACACAAATTTGATTTTCTGTTTTTTAGGGTCTTGATAACTAAATAGCCACTTGAATCATATGAAATAAAGATGTTTAGTTTAAAATTTCAAAATTTGGAACAGCGCAAACCAAGGACTTTTGGTTTTTAAATTAGTATTTTTCCCAAAAGTGACTTGGAATTATAAGAACTAATATAATGTAGAGTAGATTCAAATGTAAAATTTATCGTTCGAATAAGGAAATTTTTAATCGCATGACAAATTCGAATTTTTTCTTTATTTGATACTATACAGGTTTAACACCAGACACATTAGCTGGCCACAGAGAGAGATTTTTAAATGGTTATAAAAAGTGAGTACATTTATATAAATACAAATGGGACCTCACTATAAAGTGGTTCTATTTTAGATTGGTTTGAATCTAAGATGGGGTCAACAGTGTTGCAGAAAAACCCTTCAGTATTATATACAGATAGGGAACTTGCTAATGCTCAGTTTATATCAGTGAATCCAACAACAATGTTATAGAAAGCAACAAGTGTTTACAGTATTCCACTAGTATCTGACTATCTATAGAAAAAGTAAAGGATCCCCTAACCCAAGAAGAACAGAGACTGTTTAATGATAACAATTTGGTGTCTTTAGTCAGACCTTCATCAGATACATAGAAAATTCACAACTTTTGACTGCTCTGTTCATGTTGTAAGCCTCATAATTCTGTCTCTTTGAGGTTATATCTGTGATATATTTTATAAAAAAAAATGACCTTGTTAGTCTCAAAATAACCTTGTATTAAAGAATTATCAAACGTTATTTTGTGAATGTTTTACAGATTAAAACAGTTTTACCATAGCAGTAGTAACTTACAGTATTTTAAAACTCTAGTCCAAGTTCCTTCACTACCCGAGGTTTGTTCATCTAATACATATTATGCAGGGGTTGGATGGTTGAATGATTTTACATGTGCTTTAGATTACAAGGTCTATCATTGAGTCAAGTGGCAAAGGTTTCTATCCCACACTAACTTGTATGTGACAAGGAGAAAATTCGACTGTCCAACCTCATGGCTTAACTTGGGGCCCTCCGGTTTCCTCCTACTGCTAAAGATCCATATGTGGAAACAAATTATTGAAATAAAATTGAACCATGTGTTAGTCCCGAAATGACTTCATTTGTGGCAAGTGGACGTTGAAATCTATGGTATTTAACATATAAATAAATTAATATACAATTCTTAAACCAGACTAGATCTCTTTGAATTCTTAGAAAACTAAAAGTTTTGAGTTTGAGAAATGCAAGTTACTCTTCCACTAAAAGATCAGATCAGTCCATTCCAGCTCTTTATTTTGAACTAAATGAAAATAGTTTTACGGTAACTCCTTGTGATAGCATGCTAGTAATATGTACCTGTAATTACAAATCCTTTTGTATTTATATTTCATCAAAAAATCTATGAAAGCTGAATATATCTGGATGTTGTATAATAATGAAGTTTAATATATTTGCATGTTTTGTTTTGCAGGAACCGCCAAATTTTTTGATGGCATCTGATTTTAGTAAACACGTAAAGCCAGTAGCTGTTGTTCCACAAGAAGCTGATCCAGAACCAGAACAAGATCTAGACACACCGGATGATTCATTACTTGATCTCTCAAATCCACAGGTAATATCATATTAATATTTACTTCAAAACAAGAAATCCATGTGGTCAAATTCATTGATTATTTCAACTTTTCAATTTTCTGAGACAATAAAACAAAGTATATTAGGCCACACAAATTAAATATTCTGGTTCTTCGAAAATCCTTACGATAAATTTAATGTGGGAGAGAGGTTTTTATTTTGTCAACGGATCACTACTATACTGGGCTAAATGACTTCTCCGATTGACTTTAAACAGAGTGTTTAAAGTCATGGGATTAAGAAGCTTATTGATTTTCAACGATTTCTGATAATTACTGTCAGAGTTATGGCCCTTGATCACTTTGAAAAAGCTTGTGGACTTTAAATTTATACACAGTGTTTAAGGGTCATGAGACCAAGAGGCCTATTGATTTCTAATGATTTCTGATAATTACTTAGTGGGTTGTTACTTGTAATCAGATTTTAGTGTGTTGTAAATGACAAAAGAAAAAAAAATATGCGACAACCCTTGTTGACTGCCCAGACAACTTAGCTGCTGTGGGCGTATGTTTCGTCACCTGGCAACCTATCTTTAAGTGATGCAGATGGGATTATCCGAGAGCCAGAATTTTTTTTAAAATGGCCTTAAGTTCAAACCATTTGTAGATCTTATTGGTCTTGATAATTAAATGAATAGCTGCTCAAGTCTTGCAAACAATCTTTGGTTTAAAATTTCAAAACCTAAACATTTGGAACTAAAGCTTTTGATAAGAGCAGCCAATTTTTTTTTTATTATTTTTAAAGTATTTTTTCCCCAAGAAATAGGATGCAAAATTTAGATAGGTGTTTCCAAAGAACAAAATATAAATAAATAAGAGGCTGCATTCAGATATCCCATATTATACAACAAATCAGGTAAACCAGTCCAGCTATCATAAGTATGTTTTAATAACATAACATCATGAAGATATAAATATTGATATAAATTACTAAATATTATCATTATTGATTTCAGCAACCGGATCAGTTTGATCAGACATTCGGTCAGAATAATATGGGTTCTTTCAATTTTAATGGCAGACCTCCTGAACCAGATGAAAGGTAATTTGAGAATTCTCATCCTGCAGGCAATTCTGTTGATGCTGTTTTGTATGCAAATCTAGTGTTTGGTCTGGTTTTGACAATAACTTTCTACATTCCTATTATGTTATAGATATAGTTCCCAATGGGCCATAAATTCTATCTTCTCTCTGTTGCCCCAAGCAATTATATTTCCATAGACATATTGTTAGGATAATTTAGACAGATATTATATTAACTATATTATAAATGTATGTTTTATTTTCTCCTTTTAGAGATTTGTTGATTGACAGACTACAGAAAGAAATAGAACAATTAAAAGAAGAACTGCAACGAGTTAAAGCAGAGGTATTTTAGGATAAAAATTGTTTAAGAATTGAAAAAACAACTCAGGAACCTTTTTTAATGATAATTTTCTTTAGTTAACATCCTATGTTATTGAAATATTAAAAGTCAAATACTATATTTTGTATCAATCTGGTGATATTTCAGAGCAGCTGTTGTCATTTTTAGGAAGTATTCTCATCAAGAAAATGAATTTAATTAATTTTAAGATGTCATATTCAAGTTGACACCCTTAATTAAAGTGTGCACTTTAGATCATTAGGTCGTGAGTCAGGTGACATGGTTTCGATTCCCAGCTTGTGTGTAAGAAGGAGTGGAGTTTCCAGTTTCCTCCCAGTGCTAATGACCCCTACGCGCAAACATATAATTGAAATAAGATTGAACCATATGTTAGTGTCAAAATGACATAGTTTGTGTTGACTGGAAGTTAAACCCCATTTCTTTCTCTATTTGCATGAGCACATGTTAAAATCTTTGAAAAGAACTAAATACTGTTTATAACTTGATGGTTAAAACATCTACATTTTATGTATATGTCTACAATGACATGACAGATTTGTCTCAAATGAAAATTTAATTTGAACCAACTCTGATGCAACTTTATAGTCAAATCCAGCCAGCTAAATCTTCCTTAGTAATATAATTTTGTCTGGTATCTGAGATATTTATTTTCATCATGTTGACTGATATTAACAATGCTATGTATTTTATAATTACAGGACCAAAGAGTGATATTATCATTAAAAGATGAAATAAATAAATTAGAGAAGATTTTATCAGAATTACGTCTGTCTGCTGATAAGGCATTGAAAGTAGGTTTATATAAGTTTAATTTTAGCTAACAACTAATTACCTGTGATCTCTATTTTATTATAGTTTTAATTTAGATTATCTACCATACCATCAAGATCTGACTATTTCTTCAGCAAATTTTTGACACCTGACTGTAGCCGCTTTGATCGGTTACACCCATTCTTGCTTTAGTCAAAGCTTTTGTTCCTTGGCTCTGAACTGAACACAATCTTCTGAAAGATGTTGTTCGGTCTTGCTGTATTGGGAATGTAAAAAAAACCCCAACAAAAACGAAAGTATGATCTCATTATAATTACACTGCTAACATGTGTTGGTAATTCTACATAGTCTGATAGATATGTTTATATTACAGGAGAATGATAAGACTATGTTTATATAACAGGAGAACAATTATCTATGTTTCTATTACAGGAGAATGATACTGTAGTTTATGGTTATATTTCAGGAGAATGAGAATCTATGTTTATATTACAGGACAATGTTAATTTATGTTTATATTACAGGAGAATGATAGTTTAAAGAAAGAAGTAGAAGAAGCCAGAGTAGCCGTCATAGCTGCAGAAAAACTAGGAGATGCTGAAAGTATGTACAATTATCTTCTTCAAATTGGTCAAGTATTTGCTTGAATACACACACATATAATAATAAGACATATATTGCCATCCATGATCAGTCTGTCCAACTTTTGGGGAGGGGGGTGTGGAGTCGAAGGATCTGATGCATGTACTTTAAATGATAAGGTCTGTCATTGAGCCAAGTGATGTCTAAGTTGATGGCATATATAAGTGACTAGTGACTTGTCACATCTAATTCTGGGATGATATTTAATTAAATAAATAATAGTTTTGAGTTCTATATCTTCAGGCCCCTTGCCCGTATCCAGATTTATCTAAAACTAACGGCTACTATTTGCTGATTTAAGTTGTTGAGTGTGGCTCTGACTCCCTATCCAGGAGCTCCTTGGTTTGATCCGAGTGTTAGTCGATAAAGTTCCTCAGAATTTTTCAGCCTGGTTTTCTCTCATCAGTATAGTATGACAGAGAGCTTAGCTAGGAATACATCTAGTCATTTGGATGGGACAAAAAACCCAGATCCACCAGTGTTCTCTATTGGCATGTACATAAAAAAAAAATAACTTGGTGTTTGGAATTTGTTGAAGAGGGGGCGAAAATGCCATTGTCTGGGCAAAATTAAGCTCATAGCCCACAACATGAACTATGCATGTCTTTAATAGCCCGGTCAGTGCAGGAAAGTTGGATGTTAAACTGCATTTCATTGTTAAAGTGGATGTGGACTTACAATTTATAAAGCTTTTATCATATTTCACAATGTTTTATTTGTTTAACAGAAACAGCCAATGGTAGGCCATTAAAATCTCCATTATTTATTAACAAATAATATTTATAATATTAATAGTTATAGAAATAGACATCCTTTATTAATAGGAGGATATTTGTAGTATACAATATTAAAAAAGCACCAGTAGTTAAATTGATATTACACTTTCTGCATAACCAGTGTAAAAAGTAGATATTTTAAAGTACAGTTTAATCAGAAAGCTGTTAGAATCTTAATACATTGAATCTATTATTTGTATTATATGATTATATACACTGTAATCTGGGTATCATTTAATCTTGTGTATTTAGCACTAATTTCTTTCACATTCGTTTAACATCAAATCTTTGTTTAATGATTCGTAAAAATCATTTAAAATCACCCCAAATCATCTCATTTGTACTTGTGTCCAGTTTAAAACTGACTGATTAATTTTGATAATAAGGGTCCAATTTACAAGTATTTAATTACCTGACCACTGTTTAAATTTAAACAAGATTTGATATTGAATGAATGTGAAAGAAATTAGTGCTAAATACACAAGATTAAATGATACCCGGATTACAGTGATACCATCCTAAAATTCTATTAATTTTCCATCATCTGTAAATCCCCCACCCCACCCCACCCTTTATCAGTGTGTTATTAAAGAAAATGGTATTTAGTTAGATATTAAATACTCTGATTGTAATAAAAAAAAACTAGTCACAATCTTAGTCAAAGAAATTTAGATTGTAATAAAAAAAAGAAAATCAGAATCTTAATATACAAATTAATATATGGTAAGCATGTCATTCTCTAGATACAGTATTATGGATAGGCTTAATTCCTTACAACTTTCCATGGACAACTAATTTTCCCCGCCACCAATATTAATATACTTCATGAATGACGTATGTGTTCATATAAGCTTGAATTTTACTACTATCCTTATAAAGCCCTTGAATATGAACCACTGGGTATTAAGCACTGCTTTAGTATATCATCAATATGTTCAAAAATAGATCTTATAGATTAACAAAACTGTCCAGAATAAAATCAGCCAGGTTTTTTTTGTTTTAAAAATCTGTGTTTCTCAATTAGAGCTTAATAGATGTTACTTGTCTTAGTTTTACACAGCTGTAGTTTTATCGATCACATTAACTTAATCTAGAATTTCTTCTGTTGCGGACACTCAAATATTGTTTTGATATACTATTTTAAAACGTCTTTTGATATTTTGTCAAAAGTAATGGATACATGATATTTTGTCAAAAGTAATGGATACATGATTAAACATACCTGAATTGTATTCTTTCAATCCCTCAAGACTTGTTCATTGAGTAAATGAAAGAATTTATATCCAGCAAGGCATAGGCCTTCACCTACTAGATATCATACAATGTCTCCACAAATCATCGTAGTGCTGAAACATTTTGATAACTATGACAAGATTCATTTCCATGAACTTTCCTACCTGTCAACCAAACACCCCTAATGATCGATAGCATCCAATTATTTACATCTGTGTTTTACGTCACAAGTGTGATCACCTCATCCTTGCATATGAAACTATCAAAATCTCATATTTTTATTCATTGACACTGTTAGGGTGCCCCGTGGTCGAAACTTATCCCTACTAAAAGTTGTACTCGACACGTTGAATGTGCACGCTTCAGTGACGTAACTCTAATTGATTTCAGACGAGTCTCGGGCTCTCTTTTTGTCTATAAATAGCCACAGCACGTGAAATTCTCAACACTTGTAATAACTATTACAGACGTAAAAAATCTATTGTTGATGATTCTGAATAGAAGTAATATTTAGCTTTTTGTTTATTACTGCAGCTTTAGAAATTACGCTCGTTTTATTTTTTAAATTGCTTTATCATTAACTAGACCGTTAGGAGTGGCATCTTTTGGTTTAGTACAAATAATATCTCTGAATAGTGCGGGTTGGGCAGGAAACTGATACTAACAGTAGTTTCATTTTACTTTTACAAGGTTCTCAAAACAATTGTTGTGTCGCCCACCGGGCGTTATTTCTAAATTCAATTTTTTGTTCTAGCTTTCTGTCATGTTTCGTAAAAAAGTAATCTTGATTATCCCGGCCTGTCAATCAGACGGAGAATTGTCGGTAGACTGGTTAAGTGAGACTAATTTCAAAACAAGGGCACGTAACCTATTTTTTGCTCAAAAGTGTCTGGATGTCATGGACGACACTCCGAACCATTTTCAGTGTATTATTTATAGATGGTTAAATGGTCATATCTTATTAAGTACAACATGACCGTCTATTTAGTGACTATAATTGTGCGAAACTGATTTAAAGCTTAGTATATATATAAGTATTGTGGTGTAATTGTCGAGATGTTTGGAGATATTTATTTATGGTGGGGCACCCTAACACTGTTACATATTTTTAGGAATATAATTTAAGTCATGTTTAACCAGTCCTCCATAAGCTATACACTACTATTTGATTTGTCTTGATTAGCTGGACTTTATCCACATTCCTACTTCTAATAGCGCTCCTTAGAGAAATCAGTATTACTACTATCTTAAGACATCCCTTCTCAGAATTAATAACCAGGGCACGATAAGAACTTACAATGGTTCGGAAAGTTTACCAGCCTTTCCTGATTTACTATGTTCAGCATCATTTTATAGTCACATCTGCATGTGAATTTGCTCAGTTTTCATGTTTGATGTTGATGTTCACATTTATGTTTAACATTATTGATTTTCGAAAATTTATTTAAACTTTCGCTTTTGAATATAAACGATCTGTCCTCTAAAGTTTAATTTAACGAACTATAACTATATCATTAGATTTATTTCTTCTTTGTTTACAGAGCAAAGTAAGGCTAACCAAGAAAAGTTTCAGAAAATGAAAGATATTTATAGTAAATTACGAGAAGAACATGTACAGTTATTGAGAACAGTTAGTTATATATTTTATATTATTTCAGCTTGAAATAATTCTTCTTCGTATGAATAATACCTCATCAGGGGTGGAGCCTGTGATACTGACAAAATATTGTACCAAGGTTCAATGGTGTATGTAAAAGAATCCATGGCAGGTTGATTTCTTCCCCCTCATTGCAAATATGGTCATGGAAATGAAGTTGACTATATGTTAGTCTCAAAATGACGAAGGAGTTGGGCATTCTAGTGGTTTAACACATGCGTGTGAAATCACAATGTCATTGAGTCCTCCCGTTCCTTCCCACTGCTAAAGAGAGAGAGAGAGAAAGAAATGGGGTTTAACGTCCACTCGACACAGACTAGGTCATTTCGGGACTTACATATGGTTTAATTTTTTTTCAATAATTTGCTTGCACATAGGGGTCTTTAGCAGTGGGAGGAAACCGGAGGACCCGAAGAAAACCCACGAGGTTGGACAGGCAACCCTACTCCTTTTCACGTACATTCGGACATCCCCCCCCCCCACACACACACACTGCTAAAGACCCCCATGCACAAGTGTATTATTGAAATAAAATTGAACCATATGTTAGTCCCACAGTGACCTAGTTTGTGTCCATTGGAGTGGAGGTTAAACTCTCTCTCTCTCTCTCTCTCTCTCAAATGACTGAAGTATCCCCATTCCATTAGTTCCCTTGAAATTTTGCTTGTGTGCAAACAGGATTTCATAAGATGTACCATAATAAACTGAGTTAGTTCTACAAAATATTAAATCAACCAATAAAAAATCGAAGATCTTCTAGAATATATTTGAAGTATACATATAGTAACTAATTCAATGATTGTTTTATATTTTGACAGCATGCTGAAGCTTCCAAACAATTGACTGCTGATAAAACTGCTCTAGAAGAAAAAGAACAGATCATTAAGGTATGTTGCTTTCAAAATTATTATTCATTTTCAGAGATGGGCATAGACTAAATTTCTCTGTGTCCTCCGGTTTCCTTACACAGCTAAAAACTCCTATGCGCAAGTGAATTATTGAAATAAAATTGAACCATATATTTGTCCCAAAATGACCTAGTTTGTGTCAAGTTGATGTTAAACATCATTTCTCTCCCTCTCTCTCTCTCTCTCTTTAGACTAAAACTAAAAAATAATAACATGTCATTTTACTATGTGACATCTAGTCCTGATCTCTCTCAAAAGAATTAAATTCATAATTTCTTCCAGTCAAATAAATCATGGCCAGACTCCACCTGTTTGGTATAACCATTATTTCAAACAAGTGTTTATTTGTTCAGAGCGGTGCGGTTAAATCAAATGAAATTGTCATTCGGTTGAACAAGATTTCAGGCACTAATGAATTTTGTCTTGGACATGTAGTAAAGGTATTAGTAAAACACTGAAAATATCTGGTCATGACAATTGACATCCACAAGAGCTGTTGTGCCTGACAATGTCTGTGGCAGGTGCCTTATTTGCAGGCTCAATAATCTTTTTATAGATTGGTTTAATAGTAATAATATTGTCATTTATAAAGCATGTTAATACTGAAGAACAGTTTCTAAGGCACTGATTGAAGCCAAGACGTTACTTGGAATCAGGCTTAACTTTTCTCGCTTTAAAAGAATAGATTTTCAATGACTGTTTATTTATATTTATGTAATTATTGTGTATTTTAAAAGTCCTATAAACAATAAGCATTTGAAATTAATTTCATCCAAATCAGATACCCAAAATATCTTGATGCAAATGTGCTATTACTTTTGACTATTCAACTTAAGGCGTATATTCTAGTAACTTCAGAATTTTTCTGAAAATGAAAAGAATAAAGTTTTGTAGAATTTTTATGGGACTGATGAAATGTAGTGTGATTATAGTCACATGGCCATTGTAAATCCTTTATTGATTGTAAAATGTTTTAAGATTTGGCATGATTGATTGATTGTGAATAAATTAATGTGGTAAATTCTTATTATTTCAATTCTAATTAAAATTACCTATCGTAATAATTAGTTCATTTGCTAGTTGTTAAAGTTACATGTTTTAATTATCTTTCTGGTTAGCAAATTGTAGATTTCTCATCTCTGTTACAACATTAACTTGAAGTATTGGCCAAAGGCCCTCTTGAAAAATAGAATATTTCAATGACTATCTTTTCATTGGATGAGATTTAAACAGAGTTATGGATTCATCTAATGAAAAGGAAGTACCATTAAAATTTAGTGAATATGATCCCACAATTATGCTAACCATTAAAACTAATTTCATTTCAAGCAATTTAACTTTGCCTTTGCATCTCTATCTATTTACCTACAACTGTACTATTACTAATCTACTCTACTGATTAAAACTACGTTCTTCTCTCTAATTTGTAGCATTAATATTATTGTGTGCATATTGTTTGTGATCTATTCTATGAAATTTGTGGTCTGATTCTATGAAACCATTTTGAGCTAACCAGGATTAAAGTTCGTAACTTATTACTTCTATGCCAGAATATTGTAGGGTGCCAATCTTCATTGGGGTTTAAGAAACATGTTTTGACAATATTAAATTATGGTCAACCCAAGATTAACCAAATTAAACACATATATAAAGGTGTGCGGGGAGACCACAGAGATATTTCCAGTACTGGACATTCTGATTAAAATACAGATCTATATTTCGTTTTTTTTTTTTATACTTTCGATGGCCTATACTACATGAAGATCTGACGAGTTGTACTGGGAGGTCGCGTCAGACTCATATGAATAGCTTTTGACCCTATGACGTCAGACATTGATTAATCAATCAGCGTTGCACCTTTTAGGGGTTTACCCACAGTTCCGTGCAGAGCACACCAAGAACTTGCTGTAACAGACCATTTCATTGACCTCATATCAACTAGAACGCTTGTTATATAACAACTCTTCCAATCCTAGTGTTGTGAAGACAAGTAAATTTTGAACGATAAAAAACGAAACGGAATAGGATCAGTGTTTTAATCAGATTGTGTGCTGGATATACCAAGTCTCACAAAATTACCGAAAAACTAGAAAAAAAGCAATTTTGTTTTAGAATACATGTAATTTGGTTTCATTTCAATGAACAATGATTAGGTATACCAGGATGCAATTCATCTGGATATTGTTTTAAGAAGTGACATCCTCGGTATCCCCAGTGGTCTCATTCTGTTCTACTCCACTGTACCCTGGGTTCATCCATGTGGGGGGGCGATTGGATGGCCGAATGGTTAGCACCCTGCGACACTGGCGGGTGTCGATTCCCCGGTTGTATGTGACAAGGAGTAGGGTCGCCTGTCCAACCTCGTGGGTTTCCTCTGGTTTCCTCCCACTGCTAAAGACCCCTACGCGCAAGCGAATTATCGAAATAAAATTGAACCATGTGTTAGTCCTGAAATGACCTAGTTTGTGTCGAGTGGACGTTAAACCCCATTTCTCTCTCTCTCTCTTGATGCTACGAACCAATCAAAAAAAAGTTTACAAACCAGTCTTAGCCTCATTGCTTACGTTCACAACAATATGGCAACTTGTTTGTTGCAAAAAGATGAGTTACTTCCCTTTGCAGAGCCACCTTGGCTAAGTGGGTAAGACACTGGTTCGCTAGCCTTGAGGTCCTGTGTTCGATCCCTACATTGGCTGAGAAAGTTCATCAGGATTTTCTGACGTGGTTTCCCCTTGTCAGTGGTGCAGGACGGAGGGCCTGACAAGGTCAGCTGTCTAGTCGTTCAGATGGGACGAAAACCGAGGTCCTGTGTACACATTGGTGTGCACGTAAGAGATCCCTTGGCAGTTGGGTTTCGATAAAAGGGTAGGCCATAATACTGCTGCCCCGGCAAAATTTCCCCCATAGTACACTGTATGGCATATGCTCGTCTTCATTAACCCATTCAGAGCTTAACAGTAGGATGTTAAACCCCTTTTCATTGCATTTCCCTTCCCTTTGCCAACTTCCTTTGTATTTAGCAATTTTTTTGATTGGTCAATAAAAATAGCAGTCATCAAAAGGCAGATAATATGAATTTTGTGTCATACCCATGTCGATGAACCTAGGGGTTAGAGGGGTGGAACGGAATGAGACCACTGACGATACCGCGAATAGAAAAATGACTACACAGACCGAACAGACTGTGCTATTTATCGAATCGATTTGGATATTTGAAGTGGTTTATTATTAGTTTTGACAATTTTCCAGTTATAAATGATAATATGAGCATGATTTTTAACTGCATGTCATGTTTTTAATTGTTTGGTAGGAAAGTAAATTAGAGAATGAACGTTTAGAGAAAGAACGGAATGCTGTACAGGAAACCTTACAAAAGAGTGCTGATGATGTCACACAACAACTCTCTATTGTTGAAGTGGCAAAATCTCAACTGGAAATAGACAAACAAGTAGGTTTGAGACTACAATGTAGTTGGTGGCAGTATGTGTACTTTAATTATCATTTACACTAAAAGAAGAAGATATCCAGAGGTCGATTGATAATTTAAACATGTTTCAATGATATTGGACAAATCTATTTTCAGTCTGGTTGAGGGGAGGTGGGGGGGGGTCTAGTTAGATACGAATAAGGTTAGGGGTAGGGGTAGGAAATCCTAACACTAACTCAGCATTTTAAGACTAATAGATGAATTTTCCATATAGAAATGACCTCCCCAACCGACCTGATGATAGACAACAACAGTTATTAGAGGTACGGTACATTATTTAATTCTGAGTAAACTTTCATGAAGAAAATATGGCTCAGATTGTTGTAGAGGTAGGTGAAAATTCAACTTCCAGTTGACAATACCATAATTTATCATATAGGCAGTGGTGTCGCACAGAGGGGGCAAGTAGAATTATGTTATCCCCATTAGGATGTGTTTGAAGGTCGGGCAAAATTTCAGGCCTAAAAGTTTGGACCAATATTACCAGTAAATTCATCACATTTCATTTATTTTGTTTTTCGGCCTAATTATACAATTTAAGAAGTATAATAGATCGAAATCAGGACTTCCCATGGTGGGGTTGGCCATTGATATTCTTTCCTTGGGCTCTGAAAACCCTTGCTAAGCTATTGAAAATGAGCACATATCTTTCATTCTATCTCTTGAAAAGAATTACTTATTTGATAACCAGATATTATTTGCTCCTTTTCATCACTTTTATCTGTCTAAAACTGGGCCATGGTTTTAGGAGCAGAAATGATTGATTAAAATTGTGATGTGTAGTCATTGTACTGGAAAACTTGCACTTTTAAAATGAGATTTCCTAGAATTTGGGAGCATAGGAGTTCTGTTGTGGAACTAATGTTTACCAAAAAGAAGGGAGAATTCTACTTTTTGAATGATGGTTGTTAAAGGTAAGTATTTGTTTGTATGTGTTATTGTGAATGATGGTTGTTAAAGGTAAGTATTTGTTTGTATGTGTTATTGTGATTAGTTTTAGAGAAGCATAGCATCCTACCTACTGACAGCATGGTGTTATATAAATATCTATGTAGATCAGGTAGGTATTATATATATATATATCTATATTATCAACAGGCTGCAGGATTAGATCAATTCTATGAAGGTTGGCAAAAGAGTCAGGTAGTATATATATACATATAATATATTCTTCGTTTTTATTACTTTGTTTTGTTTAACCATTTCAATATCAGCTAGCAAGCCGCGGTGGCTCAGTAAGTAAGATGCTGATTCACTAACCAGAAGGTCTGGGGTTTGCTCCCAGTGTTGGCTGGATTATCCAGGATGGTTTCCCCCTGTCAGTGGTGTAGGATGGAGGACCTGACATGCAACAATGTCAATCAGATGGGACAGATAACCGAGGTCTCATGTACACATTAGCATGCACTTACAAGAACCCTTGACAGTTGGAATTTGATAATAGTACGACGTAGTGCCGCTGTCCTGGCAAAATTTCTCATATAGCACACTGTATGGCGTATGCTCGTCTTCATTAGCACAGTTGGTGAAGAAAAGTAGAAATTTAAACCCCATTTCATTTATATCAGCTGTGTTTAACCATTTGAATATCAGTATAGAGATCAGAAAAAACTATATTTCCAGCAGAGCCAATCATTAGAATATACAGCCAAAAAATGTCAGCAATTGAAGTGTGAGAAGTTTGATAAATGTTGATATATACGCTCCCTCTCTTACAACTCTTGTTGACATGTTGTCCGGGTCCTTCGGTTTCCTCCCACTGCTAAAGACCCCTACGCGCAAGCGAATTATGGAAATAAAATTGAACCATGTTAGTCCCAAAATGACCCAGTTTGTGTCGAGTGGATGTTAAACCCCATTTCTCTCTCTCTCTCTTGTTGACATGTTCTTAAATATCTCTAAATGTTCATAAGCTATCACCCTTCATAGCTTAAAGGCTGGTGATGTCGAGATCCTGAGAGTAAATCCTTTATAGGCATTAAGTAACTAGATAGAGCATCTATAACACATACATATGGAAAAACTATTACAAATTTATTTAAGTGACGTTTCGAAGAGTATTTTTCCATGATTAAATTTTAATCATGAACTTTTTGTTTGCCCTTATGGAAAATTATATTTTACATCCCATTGATTTCAGGAATTGGAGAATAAAGTGCAAGATTTAGAGAATTGTAAAGTCACCCTAGATTCCGAGTTACATGAAAGTCATGAAGCTGCTTCCACACTGACAGCCCAGTTACTAGAAGCACAGCAAGCAATGGAACAAAAGGAACAACAATTAGGAGCTCAACTTGCAGACCTACAGGGACAACTAGCCCTAACCCTCGAAGAAAAAAATAAAAATGAGGGCAGCCTCGGTGGACAGTTGTCTGATCTACAGAAAAAGTTTGACTTCACCTTAGCCGAACGTTTAGCAGCTGAGGATAAATTATCTCAAGATATTCAGTCATTACAGCAAAGATTAGAGCAGACAGAGAAAGATGGTCTAGAAACGCAGGCTAAACTTAAAGAAAATATTGATGAACTACATAGAAAACTTCTAGGTAAAGATATATTTCATTCACATGTTGATGAGGATGGTCTTGTTGCAAAAAACCCATTGATTTAAATGTCTATATTGGTTTAAATGATTAAAAGTCTTTTGGTGATTTGCATGATTAAAAGTGTATTGGTGATTTCCATTATTAAAAGTCTGTTGGTGATTTGCATAATTATAACTCTATTTATTGGTGATTTCCATGATTAAAAGAAACACACTATTTAATTTCATTCCCTTTCACTTGTAAACATCTAATTTGAGTATTTATTATATTTTCAGGTAGTTGTGTAGCAGAAGGTAAAATAATTATAAAAGATGCATTAGAACAACATGATAATCCAACACATACAACAGTCACATGCACAGCAGGTTTGTACAACTATGTACAATATTACTCAATCTTATTTTGTTTTGTTTTTTATAGTTCAAAATTTCGTTTTGCTTGTCTTTACTACACTAGAATCTGGAAGAGTTGTTATATTACCGGCGTTTTGGTTGAAGTGAGGGATAAGCCAATGAAACGGTCTGTTATGGCGACTTCTTGGCGTGCCATGCACAGAACTGTGGGTAAACCACGTCAATGCTGATTGATTAATCAATATCTGACGTCATAGAGTCAAAAGCTGCTCGTACGACCCCTGACACGACCTTCAAGTACAACTTGTCAGATCTTCTCGTAGAGCAGAGCAGAAAAAAAAAAGCACAACTTTAATCTTATTTAAGAAAATCTTTAAACTAAATTAATTAATCAAAATAACCTTACTTTAACAATGATTTAAGTTAAAATGCTTTTTGTATAATTTTAGAATATTTATTATTGCGAGCTGAACCAGCCTTATCTAGTCTCAAGAAATTGAAATCCAGTTATGATGTATATAATACAGATAAAAAAGGTAACCAAATTATATAATGATAGTCTCTTTTACCCAGAACTAAGCAGAAATATAGGCTCTTGGAACCCCTCTTGACTTCTATTGTCATTAGCATCCTACTAGTCAGCCTTTTATTACCAGTTGTCTTTGTCACAGTGGCTCAGTTAGTAAGATGTTGGCTCAGTAACCTAGAGGTCCCGTGTTTGATCCCTGCGTTGGCCGAGAAAGTTCATCGGGATTTTCTGGCGTGGTTCCTCCTTGTCAATAGTGCAGGACGGAGGGCCTGGAAAGGGCCAACATATAGTCACTCGGATTAGACAAAAAAAAACTGACATCCTGTGTACACATTGGAGTGCATGTAAAAGATCCCTTGGAAGTTGAAATTCTATATAAAAGTAGGCTTTAGAGCCTCTGTCTGGGCCAAATTTCCAACATAGCCCACTGTATGGCGTTGCTTCTCTTCATTAGCCCAATCGGAGTAGAACAGTTGGACATTAAACCCTCATTTCATTACATTTTCATTTTTGTCATATCATGGGTAATAAATGAAGGTTGATAAAACTGTCAACTTTTTAGTTTTTTGTAACCAGTTTAATATTTTTGTATCTGACCATCATAATAACATTAAATATATTTTATCTCTATATTTATTTTATTGCAGAGTTAGAAGAATTAGTAAGTAATATAAATGAATTCTCCCATCACCTAGGAGATTGTATAATACATGGGTTTGCTACATCTCATTCTGCACAAATAGAACCAGGACTACGTAAGTTTTAAATAGATTTTATCTAGAACACCTGATACCACTTCTCATGTATTAAATCAGTTAATATATTATACAGTTATATTGTCCTTTAAACAGTAGGGCTATTGACCCAATTAGGTAACTAACACTGGGCCACAAGAGTCTCAACTAGACTAGAATGCCTCAATGTGGGCCTTGAGGAAACTTTTTCGATTGTTCAAGCCTGATTCCTATTTGTCGATTGTAGCACTTTTAGGCTGAAAAGGAAGTTGTTACTTAAAAGTTTTGATAAAATGAAAAGTGGAGTCCACAAACCTGTTTACATATTGTGGATTTGAAAAATAATAGGCACTGTCTGGGAAGAATTCTCTTTCTTTGCATTGCACACAGTGACCATAGTCTGTATTGTGTTTTTGTAATGACCAGGGTAATTTGTTAATGAAATGTTATACCCCATTCCATTCAATTTCTTTTTCTGTTAAAGACAAGAAATAAATAATGGAAGTGGACATATTTGCTGAATATATTTTAAAATTTGAATGTTGATAGTATAATTGTTTATGTATTATTTCTTGTAGAATTGGCATCAATATGTAAAGATGTTGGAGTATCTGGTGTAGAATTATTAGATAGTGTAGAAAAAAGTACGTTTTTTTTTATTCTTCTTGATTGTTGATTGTCCAGAGTTGAATAAGAAACTTCCTCATCATATTTCTACCTGGTTTCTCCTTATCAGTGGTGCAGAATGGAGGTCCTGACAAAGAACAGTGTATTATCGTTTTAAACGGGATGAAAATTATACTAGATACCCTAAAATTTGGAAATCAGAATAACAGTAGGTCGTCGGGACAAAATTTTCCTTCTAGACACTTTAATGGTGGACAAAAGGGAGACATTAAACCCCATTTCATTAGACTTGAACAGGAAACTAGACACTAACATATTTTTGGACCAGGAACAGGTCACTAACTGCTACTCATCTTGTTCTTCTTGTTGTTCTTGGGGTGATGCTCTTTAAAAAGCCTAAGGTTCCATCAATTCAAGTCAGATCGTCATGGAAATTGCCATGCTACTTCTTTGAACAATTCTGCATCGATTTGTTCAATTAGATTTTTGAATTTCATCCAACAACATGGGTCAGTTCTTGGTCCATAGTATGATCATACTTGTTTTCTAGTTTAAAGAAATATGTTTCCTTTTCGAATTATGTGAGTATCTACTATGTAATGGACAAATCTTACCCAATTATAAGTTAGTTATCTCTTGTTGACAGGAAGTGATGTAACCAGTCAAATAGATAAAACTGTACAACAGGTTAATAACTTAGTGAAGTTAGCAGAAGATTTACTACCAAAGATGGAGGATGTTAAAGCGGAGGAGATTGGGGATTTAGTAGATAAAGAAATGTCTTCTACTACAGCTGCCATTGAAGCAGCTGCTGCAAAAATAGAGGTCAGTTATAAATAATTTGAACAGATATTTTGTTCCTTTATGTGTGTTCGAACAGAAAGAGCCATCAGATCCTTTCAAAACCATTTTTCGACAATCTGATTTCTTGACATGTTTCAGTTTGAAATATAGTTAACCCAGAAAGTTGGAGATGATATTTTCTATTAAAGACTTGTCTATAATAGAGGTTTAGTTTGATGTAATGTCATTCATTATCCCCACTACCAAATGGTTTCTTGTAAAAACAACTTTAAATTAAGGAATAGATATCTGGATTCATCAATTCATCATCCCAATCATCTGCACTTAGAAATACCTGGCCCTGAGTTAAGAATTTACTCAACTTGCAATCACTGTTTATGAAAGATATCTTTGATCCAGAAACACAAAACTTTTTACAGTGTTTCTTATTCATGTATTTAATACGTTAAAACAACAAAAGTTTTATAAAGAGCTATATTTTAGTTAGAATAAGCGAACAATTTTGAGTAAAGTCTTAACTAAAGCCTGAAAATGCTTTGTGAACTCGGGGCCTGAGATTTAGATCTGAATATTGTATAGAGTGAGATTCTCAGGTGTTCTGGCTGTTGGGCTGACAAAGATTCTGAGATAAACATTCTCATGTGTTACTGTTCCATAAAAACAAATAATATTTTTTACAGGAAATGTTAAAGAAAACACGAGAAGTAACAACTGGTACTGAATTAGAAGTTAATGAAAGAATATTAGATGCCTGTACTGCTTTAATGATAGTATGTATATAACTCTAATGATCATATATATCTCACTGACTGACTAAATGGGGTTTTAATGCCATGCCTGCTGCTACTTGGAAAACTTTGTGACGAAATTCTGGAAAATGGGTGCATGTGTGAAAATTGTGATGCATCAATTTTCTATTTATTGGACAGTTAAAGTATTATATCATTTGAAAGCCAAATGAATCGTCTACTAGATGGCACCAAAGCGACAAGTTTCAACAGCAAACGAAAAAAATTATGGGACTTTGGAAATACCCCTCTTACATATGAGCCGGGTGTCTATAGGTATATCTTTGAAAGTCCTCTGATAAGTCAAATTGGTTGGGGGAAGGATACTGAACTTGCAACTAGAATTCAGTGCCAAACATATGCCAAGAAGAACCTTAGAATAGGCACAAATGCCACTGCCCAGGAAAAATTGTCCTATCTTAGAAATAAAAATGACCATGTTTGTCTCAAAATAACCAAATTATTGTGTTGAGAAGACATTGATTGAACCCCACTTCATTTGAGTTGGTTGTTTTCTTCCTTTGATTGTACATGTGGATATTTTATCTTATTTCTTTCTACCAGGCAATAAAAGAATTAATGGAACAGTCTCGAGATCTACAGAGAGAAATTATAGCACAAGGAAGGGTAAGTCTACTTCACTTTTATCACAGAGCTCATATCTGGCTGTGTGGTGCTCTACTGCTGGAAATCTTGTCAATGTATGTATAATAAATCCCATTGAGACTTGAGATGTATCCAATTTCTTTTTTTTTTTTTAAATTAAAAGACAAAAATAAACCACAAAAAAACTTTGTTTTGATATTGTGAATATTTTACAGGGAACTTCATCAGCTAAAGATTTTTATAAGAAAAATCATCGTTGGACAGAAGGCTTATTATCAGCTGCTAAAACTGTTGGATTTGGAGCTTCCTCTCTGATGTGAGTAACTCTTGCTAGTAATTTGGTTTTTACTTATATAGCCTGATCAATTTGATGGAAGAAAAATCAAAATTAAGGGAAGAATATAGAATTGGTTTCCAGACGTCCGTCCGTCCGTCCTTCCGTCCTGGTTTATGTTTATGAAGCATAACCCATCAATCTGTTATAGTAGTTTTACTAATTAGTTTGACTGGCAAGGACAGCTGTCTAGTCGTTCGGATGGTACGAAAAACCCAGGTCCCGTGTACACATTGGCATGCACATAAAAGATCCCTTGGCAGTTGGAATTTGATATAAGAGTAGGCCGTAGTGCCACTGTCCGGGGACAATTTCCCTCATAGTACACTGTATGGTATATGCCCGTCTTCATTAGCCTAGTCAGAGCAGAACAATAGGACGTTAAAACCCATTTCATTTCATTTGATTTCTGTAGTTTCAAGTAAAAACCTGTTGTGGTGGGTTTCTCTTAAAATAAGTGATAAAGAAAATGATGTTCCAATTGTCACCCATTTTTTGTGATTGATTTTATAGAAGATGTGATTGTTTTCCAGGGAATCTGCTGATCGAGTGGTAAAGGGTGAAGGTAAATTTGAAGAGTTGATTGTATTTGCCCAGGATATTGCAGCCAGTACAGCTCAACTTGTTGTTGCATCTAAAGTTAAAGCGGATAAAAATAGTAAAACATTAGGCTTGTTATCTAACGCATCAAAACGTGTTAATAATGCTACTGGCAACGTGGTGGCTTCAGCTAAAACTGGTTCACAGGTCATAGAAGATCAAGGTAAGTACAAATATCCATTCACTGCTTTGTTGAAATATTAAAAGATCAGGGACCCTAGGCATGGACACGTTAAACTAACAAGTGACATGGTTTAATTCCCCAAGGTAGGTCGCTTGTCAAACCTCATCGGTTTTCTACTGGTCTACTGTTCAACCTCATTTCCCTCTCTCGGTCTCTCATTGGTGGAATTAAAAAATCACAGTACATACCTCAGTATTACCAAAGTATTGTTGATAAGATGTTAAATCCAATCCAATTCGTTTGAATTTATATACAGGTAAAACTACCTTGATAAAAAATACCATCTAAAGAACTAATTCTGAATAGAAATAAAAGAACTAAGTTTCTAGTACTGACCTGTGAAACCTATCAACAATTGACTAATTATGTTTCAGGATTAATGGACTTCAGTAAAATGACACTGTATCAAACTAAAAAGATGGAGATGGAAGCTCAAGTTAAAGTTTTAGAATTAGAGAATGAATTAAAGAAAGAGAGAATGAGACTGGGAGAATTACGTAAACAACATTATCAATTAGCGGGAGAAAGTGAAGGCTGGGAGGTCGATCAGGTATGTTTGTAGTCGTAAATTTCATATTTTATTTAAGGGTGTATGATACACTAATTCACTTCATCAAATCTTGAATTAATATTTAATCAGACAATCCTATGGGAGGGAAGCATTTATTTTTGTATGCCAATTGATGTCACCCCTGTCTGTCGGGTCGTCCACGGTTGCATGTGGATGCTCCAGAGGCTAAAGTTATTATTTGATTCGCTTTGAATTCATACACAGTGTTTATGTTCATGAGACAAAGAATCATGTTAATTTTCAACAATTCCTGATAATTACTCTCAGAGTTACCACCCTTGATGATTTTAATAATCTTGTAAACACTCTACAGGCTAAAGTTATCATTTGTTTAAGGAATTCACTTCCATAATTATTAATTTTAAATAGCTCTTTGTCATCTCAGACTACAGAGAAATCAGAATAATTTTTATGTAGTCTAAAATATGGGGATGTGTTTTGGTTATTTGAGATCCTGTCTGATATTTTCATCTTATTACCGGTAATATTATCACACGTTATCTTTCTTAGCTCTTTATTATTGTTTTTTTTTTTATTTACTTTAGTTCTATCATGGTGTAAATTATTTTATTGTTTCAATCATGCCTCATCTTTTCATCTGTTATTTTCATTATTCAAACACTACAATAGGGATGTATATATTGATCTTTTTAAAATTGAAACTTCAGAAATAGAGGATACTCAGTGGGCGTTCCCACCTCATGCCTCCCAAAGGAATATACAAAATTATGTGACATATTTGTTTGGACATTGATTGAATAATTGACAGGTTTTCAGGCAAAACCCCCCCCAAACAACGGCGGATGGATTTCATCAAGAGCAGCTCATTTCCTCAAAATTGAGACATACTCCAAATTGTGCCCTATTAGGAAATCCTTGTGCAGCTACTGGATATTTATTGGTCATGTTATTACTATTGATTTTATGTCAATTTCAATGTCATTATGATAGTAATAGATGTGGTAGAAACTTTCTGATTGGTCAACACTGAAGCAACACTGATCAATGAGCATTTTGGAAAGAATTACCGGTATAGAGGATTAAAAAAGTAGATATTGTAATTCTAGCTTATATATATTTATACATCCTTGATATATAGTCTTTATTTAAGTTATTATAGAATAGATTATATATATGTTAGTATATTTAATTATATATAAAATACTAGGAAATTGATGAAAGTGAAGGAGATCATAGTGCACCTTTAACTGTAAGTTATAAATAGATAGAACAGCCTGTAAACTAGATTTATACACAGAATGAATGTTGTCTTAATTAGAACATTAACATAATTACTGTAACTAACATTTTGTTTGGTATGTGCCGCCTTTACTTTAGCTGAAGTTGTACTATTTTCATTTTCTCAGTTTAAATGAAATTAAAAATCTGTTGATTCCCAGACTTAAGTTAAGAATTTACTCAAAAATGTTTGCCTTATTTTAAAGATGTATTATGGGAGATTTTTATAGAGAGTTGGCCATTCTTGCTATAACAGTTCAAAAGTAGATGATGAAAGAAGAATATATTGAAAATTTCAGTCAAATTACTTTATTCGGAACATAGTTATCATCGTTGTAATATTTGACTAGAAATGGTAGTTTAATGTGCCTTAACCTTGGCCGATTGTTTGATTGACAGGCGTTAACTCTACCTACATATCTCGATTATCAAGTAAAGTTTTCAATGGCATGCGGAAACGCTCTACAGCGGCCTCGCTAAGTACACTCTATCATTTAGCCTCGATCTAACTGACGTATTCTCATCAGGGTGCGCCATATTTGATTTAATCAATAAGTGAAATCCTACTTAAATCCGAGCTGTAGCTGAGCCATCCGTGGGTCTACAGAGTTGATTTTGGGCTTGTTGTTTAAATAAAGATCTAATTTATAATTTCTATAAGATCTGAAGCCTAAATTAAGACTTGCAATAATCAGATTTAGCTCTTGCATAATGTATGTTTAAATAAAATATAGCTCTTTAACTTTTGTTGTTTTGATATATCAAATACATCAATAAGAAACTATGTGCAAAGTTTTGTGTTTCTGGATCAAAGATATTTCTCATAAACAGTGATTGAAAGTTGATTAAATTCTTTAGTCTGAGAATGCTTTGTGAATTGGTTTGTTTACATATAGTCTGCAGAGGATGTCGAATGTTGCAAAAATTTCAGTTCGTCATGTTTTTATAAATATAGAATGGTATCCCTAAAACGATGATCAGCATCTTTAAGAATCTATAAGTTATTCCTTTTAATATTTCAATACACTACGTCTTCAGCTAAAGTCAGGGCAGTTGATACGACCCTTAATTACAATGTATGAGAAACTGTAGAAAAAAGTTCAAAGAGAGAAGCTTTATTCTGTCAACTTTTTTAGCTTACGTCACTCGAAATAAAGCAGCTACAAAATGGTTATTGTAAAATTAATGATTTATAACCATAAATATAAAACTAAATATTGTAATAACAAATTGATGTTGTGCTTAATTCATCGCATGAAGTATAATAATCTACTTTTATGTTTCGGCAAAATGTCACATTTACTAAAAACTGTCCAGTTTTAGTTCATTTCTGTCTGTGCTGGTGCAAATTTGCAGCCTTTACAGCAAAGTCAGTCAACATGAATGCTAGTTACTTAATAAATACTTAAATGCGTCAACGTTGTATTTGAGCTTTAATGGACAAGTTGAGTTATCCCTATGGGTACTGTGGGTTCTATTGTCAAGACCATATTCTCAATGTTGGTTTAAGAGCGGTAGCTTCTATTTGTCTTAATACTAGCCAATCGTTGGCTGTATTTGCATGAACTGAATTGCTTCATACGTAATGCTCTTGATTTAGTTATTTAAAGTGGCTGATCTCAATTGTGCATTTTTCGGTCAATACCTAATTTTGACAGCTTAATTTAGCCCATCTCAATTGTGCATTTTTCGGTCAATACCTAATTTTCGCAGCTTAATTCATGCCTAAATGTACTCAATTTTCAACAGCTTTAATAATTGACATCAATCTTATTGACTAATAAAACACAATTTACAGAAAAAAAATACTTAAAAGGCCTTATCTTTGAATTTGATGAAATTTGATTTTAACTGATGTATTATAATGACCATGATCATCCAGCTTAATTTAGCCCATCTCAATTGTGCATTTTTCGGTCAGTACCTAATTTTCGCAGCTTAATTCATGCCTAAATGTACTCAATTTTCAACAGCTTTAATAATTGACATCAATCTTATTGACTAATAAAACACAATTTACAGAAAAAAAATACTTAAAAGGCCTTATCTTTGAATTTGATGAAATTTGATTTTAACTGATGTATTATAATGACCATGATCATCCAAAATAACTTGGAGAAATCAGTCTTATTACATGAATCAAACAGGTCATGTCTGATTAATTTTAAAGATTGTTATTTTTCTTACAATTTTATTTTATCAGTGTTTTCGGAATGAGAGAATGTGTTGCTTTACAAGGTTTGTTTTCGATTGCAGATGGCATGTTTTATTGCAACAAAGTGAATTCTTTTAAAACCTGAATCCTTATATTTGTAATTGAATTCACTTCGTTGAGGATACAGATAAAATGATAATTCCAAAATTTGATCCTTCCACAATTCAGATTCTGAAAGAAACATTTAATTTGGCTTGAATTTGAAATGCGAGAATCTAAAAACAGATATAGATTACTGACTATATAATCCCAACAGTCAATCTTGTGTTTAATGATAATATAAAGAATAACTGTAAATAATTTGTCAATATACAATTTCTTCTTCCTTTCTACTTTTGAATAAAGGCTTATTGTTTTAAAGATACAACTTCTTATCAAGATGGGTGGGGTTGGGAGGAAAATTGGTCACACATGTACTCCTTGATCATGGGACCTGTCATTGAGTCAACTGGTGTTGTTTAGACAAGGAATAGGGTTGCCTGTTCATCATCCACGATCTGGTTTCTTCCCACTTCTAAAAACCCCTACACAGAAGCAAATTATTAAAATAAAATTGAACCATATGTTAGTCCTAAAATGACCTAGTTTGTGTGGAGTGGATGTTAAACCCCATTTCTATCTCTCTCCTTATCAAGATGTACTTTACATACTACTTGATATTGTACTTTATAAATATATTACAGTTAGCTGATTTAGGTGTGCCTGATTGGGCTGAACCGTGGGATTCAGATATGTTATAGGTATATTGGTAAGACAGCATGGAGTGATTTGGCGTGAAAATTCAGAATTGTGCAATGCAAATTTTTACATGCCTCACAGAATGGCAGACTGAATTGGTTATATTTACCATTACATACCCCATCAGACCGTATTACATACCCCATTAGATCGTATTACATACTCTATCTGATCATATTACATACCTCATCAGATATTACATACCCCATCAGACCATATTACATACCCCATCAGACCATATTACATACCCCATTAGACTGTATTACCCCATTTGGTCGTATTACATACCCCATTAGACCATATTACATACCCAATCAGACCGTATTACATACCCCATCAGGCTGTATTACATACCCCATCAGACTGTATTACATACCCCATCAGACTGTATTACCCCATTTGGTCGGATTACATACCCCATCAGACCATATTACATACCCCATCAGACTGTATTACCCCATCTGGTAGTATTCCATACCCCATCAAACCATATTACATACCCCATCAGACCGCATTACATACCCCATCAGACCGTATGACATACCCTATCTATCATATTACATACCTGAGCAGATATTACGTATTACATGTAACTCATCAGATTACATTACATGTACACCATCTCACTCAGTTTCTGTTACATACTACATTGAACCGAGTGAAGTTACATACTGGTACCTCATCAGACTGAGTTAAGTATGCTGAGTTTAATATCCTTTCAGATGGAGTTTCACATCCTGACTGAGTTTCATGTCTCATCAGATTGAGTCTCACTGAATGAATTAAATTACAAACCCCATCTAAATACTGCTAATTCAAAGAATTGATTTCTGTCACAGTTCTGTCAGATCGATAACAAATGAGTTGTCAGTAGAATTGTGATGTTAGATTCTGTTCAGACTGCCTATATTCTAATGTTTTCTTTGATTTTCACTATTTGTGGAATTTAGAGAATGTTTAATCGACTACTGTATGACAAATGTTTTTTTATGAAGAATGTTTTACCATTGCTGTGCTTATCATATTGATGTAATGATCATAGTTATTAATTTATTAATATATTTAATTGATCTGTATGGATTAGTATTTGATTGATCTGTATGAACTAGTATTTGATTGATCTGTATGGATTAGTGTATTTTACAGAATTAGTGTTGTTGTTTCAGCATGTCATTTATTTCAGATGATAATAGATCAGAGCGTGGATTAACTACTATATCAAAAACTTAAACAATTTGACTAAATGTTGTTAGATCTATTTCTGTTATACTTGGAATTCTCTTCCTTTGCTATTATAAATCAATAATCAAATATAACTGTGATTCACTCCATTTATCTGACAGACTATTTAAACTAATTAAAGCAGCTTATTGATGACTTTAATTATTTAATCATGGTTTTACCTGAATATTCTGAAACTCAAAGGTGCTCCTACAAATGAATATGGTACTTGTAGTTTATGTAACTCCAAGACTAGTGTATACAATGCAGTCAATACTTGCTGTCAAATCTCGTGGGTTTTCTCCCACTGCTTAAGACCCCTAGCACAATCAAATTATTGAAATAAAGTTTGAACCATATGTGTGAGTGGAGGTTAAACTCTCTCTCTCTCTCTCTCTCTCTCTCTCTCTCTTAGTCCATACTTACACTACATGGCAACATGAAAACTAACTTTTAATTACCAAGTATTACCAAGTAATTACCAAGTATCCCTGTCTTCATTTGGCCAGTCGGAGCAGAACAGTAGGCTGTTAAACCCCATTTCATTATAATTTTAAATCATATTTTATTTTTGTAGTCTTAAAATCAATCATTAAATTGAATGTTATTTTTTGTTTTATTTTACTTTATATTTTTATATATTGTTCATCCTCATCATCTTTATTAATTTGTTTTATTTTTTAATCTTACATACAATGTATAATATACCATCATTTATCAACTTCTTTAATTAAAAAACCCAAATCAATTATTATCTTCTATTTTTCAGGGAAAAAAGAGTTGACCATCTTTTAGCCTCAATACCCAGATGACAAGGGGACATAATTAGTGCATAGATGGCATTCATCAATATATATATAATAACAGGCATAACACTATATACACTACCCATATAATCGAACATTGGCGTTTTCGTTTATTTTAAATAACGCTTTCAAGAAAATTGGCCAGGGTTTTGTTTATTTTGTAGATATAAAATTATTTTACGGTATGTCAATTGTATATTTGTGTTTTGATTATAAATGGATTAAGTATTTATTTGGATGGAATATACCGATGATGATACAAGAAATTTCTTTGAATTTTAAATGCACTAATCTTATGTTGGCTTTTATTGTGAAGATAAATGCCACTTTTATTGTTTGGTTATCCTTCCTTTAGACTTGGAGATAAATGATATTTTAACTTGGAAGCTTTTAATCTCTAACATTTAATTTATGGTGAAAACGTTGCGAATTTGATAAAGAAATCAACTTATACACACAATCTAAATTTGACAGAGATGGATGAAAATTATCCATGTTTTGCTTATATCCATTTCAATTGGGTTGATTTTCATGATAGAGTTGTCTAATGGATGTTAAACAACATTTCTCTCTCTCTTTCATGATAAAGTGCTCTGATTGGCCACTTCCTATAAACCAACCAATGGAAATTTGATCATACTCTGTTTGGGTTGATTTTCATGATAGAGTTGTCTAGTGGATATTAAACTCCATTTCTCTCTCTCTCATGATAGAGTGCTCTGATTGGTCATTTTCTATAAAGTAATCGACCATATTTGATCATACCCTATTTGTGAATGGACATAAGGAGCAAGACAGTGATTATTTGTAAATGATTAGTGTATTTTAATTTATGTTTATTTGTTGTTATGTGATTATAATATAACTGTGTGGTTATTATTAACGATGATAATATGAATTGTTATTAAATCTATATATGTATTATATATTTTGTTTTATGAGGCAGGGACTTGTTGGAGTATGTATCTTATAGTTTTATATCTTCTCATTTACCATTCATATATACAGGAAGCTATTGGCAACTAAATCATCCAATAAGCTTAAAGCACAGGGCACACAGACAGTTGCTATTGGCAACTAAATCATCCAATTATATTTGAGCGTCCACTTAAGTTAACTTGCTCATTGATGAGTCTTATGTAATCATGTGACTATTCAGTACAGACATTCTGCTATGCATCACATAAATGCTTGAAGCATCATCTTGATAAAATTGTGTGAATCTGGAATCAGTGTAAGGGACTACGCTAAAATTCAACACTTGGGTCCAAACGAACGATCCACAGATATATCTTGACCACCTCCCATCCTTGCCGATGGAGCTATAAAATGTTGACACGGATGGATTTGGGTGCTTGTTTAAGACTAAATATGAGCACTACATATACACATCTTTTGATTATCTGCATTTATCAGGGGAGGTTGGATGACCGAATGGTTAACGCAGGTGCACTGTATCAATAGATCTGTCATTGAGTCAACTGGCGTGGTTTCGATTCCCTGGTTGAACTTGACAAGGAGTAGGGTCGCCTGTACAACCTCGTGGGTTTTCTCCGGGTCCTCCAGTTTCCTCCCACTGCTAAAGACCCCTATGCGCAAGCGAATTATTGAAATAATATTGAACCATGTTAGTTCCGAAATGACCTAGTTTGTGTCCAGGTTAAACCGAATTTCTCTCTCTTTCTCTCTCATTTATCAAAAATGGACTAGGATCACAGCCAATATATAATGCAATAACTTAACTATCACATCCCATTTATGACAAGAATTTTCACCATTTTCAAACCCTACATCAGATTCCCATTTAGGCTAGTGTGTGCACTGTGCTTTATATACCAGCATTAAATATATTTTGTTGAATAGTATGATTAGTTTTTATTGTGTATAGAACAGAGAGCATGCCATATTATTTTAATTTTATTATAGATGTAATTATTTCAATAACAGGGTTTATACATAATAAACTTAGAATTAAATTGCGTTTTACTGAAAACATGAAATATTGTGTTTGCATATTAATTCTACAGGTGTAAATGACTGGCTAGAGGTAATTAATCAAGGTGAAATCAATATTAAGAAGAGGTTATGCGATTCGTAGCCACAGTGGTTAGGGTTAGGGCAACTATTTTTTATTGAAACTCTGTATAATAAACAAGCACAAGGGTTAGGAATAGGATTAGTTAATTTTAGTTCAATAATTGTAATCCTTTACAATGCCCTTTCAATACTTCAAAAGTATTTACTAGGTAAACTTAATTCATAAATGCAGTATTTAGGTTGTAATCTTTATTCTTAAAGTAGCTAAGTCTCTAACTCAATATCATTCAAAATCTTCCACATTGAAAACACAAATTATTTGTCGGCTTAAATCAAAACTGATGTTGTGATCTTACCGGGAAAAGATGGCCTTCTGACATCCAATATTTAAGACAAAATAAACATTTTACAATTGGTACACGAATCGTGTACCATAATGCATTTCAGCGCTATTTGTAATAAGGGACTCGAAGAACGAGGCTAGACATATTCAACAAGTCATGTCAAACGGTGAAGCTATATTCTTATCTGGAGAGTATGCGCAGTAAATACCTTCGGCATAGACTGGAATAACCAGACGCTAGAGATTGCCATTCGATTGAGACTTCTGGCGTATTTCGCCGAACCTAACTGATTAGAAATTACAGTAAAAACAGAAACGATTGAATGTAAATAATTTATATACATTCATATTACATTATTGTATGGTTGCGACCCATTTGTGTCAATTTCTAGGTCCAAAATATTAGCCATTTAGCTCCTTTAAACATTGTGGTTATGAATAACATCTTCCGATCTTTATTTGTCAACACTTTTGTTACCAAGTAGACTTTATTCATAAATACTGTGGTTATAAATAACCTTGTCCTAAATATTAAACAAAATCTATTGGCATTAATTTTTCATCCACCATCTAATTCACAGAGAAAATATTTATAATACTACACAGAGCAGAATAATATGATGCCAAGAAATATACATCACTGTTGTGATTGGACTTGTTACAAGGAAAATGAAATGTATTTTCTTGTCCATCCCAGTATATTTAAAAAAAACCCAAAAAACTTCTTTATCAATTAACTTTATCTTATTCCAAGAAGTTTTTTTGTTGGATTATCTTTTATAAAAATGTCAGATGTTTATAGGGGGAGATGATAAAATATTAAAATTGATAATTAAAAAGTGAATTATTATAAATACACCGGGCCATATGTATACTAGATTATGATAACTTTTTTCAATTTTAAAATCTTTTGATATTGTATTTCTATTTACTAATATTTTATGGAATGCATATTTACTTAATTCCTGTAAGCATTTAAATTGATGCACATGAAATTAAACTGGTCATTGTCTTTAAATTTATTTTTTTTTCTTCTATACACCTGGCCATATATACTAGATTATGATAACTTTTTTTCAATTTTAAAATCTTTTGATATTGTATTTCTATTTACTGAATTCCTGAAAGAATTTGAATTGATGCACATAAATTTAAACTGGTCATTGTCTTTAAATTTGTTTCTTTCTTCTATTTTTTAAAAAGAAAATACATTTTTTGATATCCTTTAATTCTTTTTTTTTCCATTGAAGTGGTTAAGAATTGTATTTCTTACATTCATAATATGTATAAAATATTCACTATTTATGTCATGTTTAAACCCTTGTTAATTACCTTTCAATATTCAAATCCTTTTTTTTTTAGATAAATGAAATAAGTATAATTGAAATTATGATGCATTGTATATATATATATGTAATTTATTTTGCATTTTCATTAACGAATCTCCCTGCTAACTGATCAGCAGGTAAATATTTGCTTGGGGCAAGTTAATTATCCCTTAATATTAACTCTTTTTCGTCTGCAAATTAAATTCTAAAACAATTGGTGTAAATGGGTATGTAAAATGATTAAAAGGTGCTAATTCTGCATGGACCAGTTTGCATTAATAGCTGATGTGACCTGAAAGGTCAGTTATCTTGTACAGTGTTAAAAAGCTTGTACTAAGAGGAGTTTGATTATCAAGAATCTACATCTAGATGTTCTGTATAGATTCAAATCACAATTAAATATGTTTTCCATATCTGAATTTAAGGCATGTCCTATTTCTGTGAAAGAGATATTCATTTTGTTTCCTAAAGATTTCAAAACCAAATCCAGATACTTGAATCTACAAATCTGCCTGGGCGTGTTGATTCTTGTCATGCTCAGTTTTTGATTTGTGATGGACCTCCCTTTTGATTCTAAAGAATTTGCACCAAGGACTCTTCACAAGTTCAAGCATGTTGATTTAGATTTGAAACTGTGCTGGAAAAAGAGAATGGATTATGAATCTGGAAAGAACCTTGATTCAAATGTACCACAATGCACCAAATGCCCTTTGTCTGCATTGTCAAAAGCCAAACCTTAAATTTTCACAAATTTTGCCATTAACCTTTTATTAATTAACAATAACATCTTATGTTGCCTGTTTAAGAGATTTCATACATTTTTAGAAAATTATATTATTTTTATCATCTGCAATAGAGCTACATACTGCATCCTTCATGATTTAAATGTTCCATATTAACATGCGCCACTGTTACTTGGGATTTGGACCCAGTTGTACAATTCTAATTGATAGAGATGCTATAAATGTAGACTCCATGACTTTCAGATGAAAGAAATGATAAAGATCAGGTTGTCATTAAGTTGATCAAAAATTGTATTTATAATTTTGTGTTATTAAAGGGGAATATTCAGATTGAAGCAAATGGTAACTGTCTGTAGAGGGTTAAATTTCAAAATCATTAAAACATGTCTTCAATTATTGTAAGAGTGTTACATATAGTCCTTAGTAGTCTTGGTCGCTCTATCCCAAATTGTCTCCCCTTTGACAGGTCTGGACTAAATACAACCGTGTATGCAATGACCTATGGGAAGTGTTGTTTCAATCTACCAGTTAAAAAGGGTTATGCATACTTCGAAAGTGAGGGTGAAGGTCATTTTCTATTTCACCCAATCGTAAGAAATACACAAATCCCTGTAAGACCTATGACATTGTAAACAATATTGTCGGACCAATATAGTCGAGTGAAGGCGGTTTGGATTAGAGGAATTGAGACTAGGTCCAAAGACAAGTGATTATTACCACGGTTAAAAACTGCCTGCAAGAAAACCAAACCAATTTTAACAAGTAACTATGACAACACATTATTGATTGTATTTTTATTTATTTGCTATATGTTTTTTTGTTTATATATTTGATAAGACTTTGTGTACAGTACTTTTAAATAAACATGTCACAATAACAAGACAATCAATATATACATTGTATATGAACAGACAATAAAATTATATAAAATTATATCACAGTCAATTTGCTTATCTTTTCTTTTTGAAAACAATATATTTATATATGAAAACATAAGAATCTTGATTTTAATAATAAATACAGGATGACCACACCATGTGTAACGACAACTAATTAGAAACCCACAAGAGATAGATGGGATTTAATGAAGGGGTCTATCTGTACATAAGTGGTTGTCCCGGGGCCTTTGTAACTAACTCTAATCTCTTCAAGGTATTAGAAACCCTCAAGATAGAAATGTGAAGGGGACTATCTAATTAGTGAATGGATATAACGGGTCGTCCTGGGGCCTTTGAAACTAACTCGGTATTAATCTCTTAGAGTTATTTAGTAACTGGATCGATTTCACAGAAGACTCTTCAAAGTGTCAACTAAATATATTAGGAGCTGTTTTTCATAAGTATCTGTTACAGTTTATTTAAAGTTGTAACTGGTTTTAAGACGTTTAAATTTTCATGAATATGGACTCAATGTCTCCATCACTGAGACAGCATACAAATCTTTTTGAATGAGCATTAAGAACTGTCAAGTGGACAAAAGCTACTCATCCACTGCATAGTTAAAGATGCATTGTATAAGAGCTAAATCAGCCTATTTGAATCCACTAAATATCGCAGTCATCAAGAGTTGATTGGTCTTGGTCTGTTAATTAATGTCTAATAGTTTATATAACATTTTGGGCCAAAAGAAAGAACTGCAATAGGCAGATTTAGCTCTTGCATAATGCATGTTTAAGTATTTCCAACAATATGATAAATTTTTCTACATCATCTGCTGGCAATATAAACAGCCAGAGCTACCTGTTGAGTAAAATTAATGGCCCCTTTTCTGAATCTGATTGAATTCAAGTCGTAAGATTAACTACCTTTGATATTTTGCTTTTAATTTGTTTGAGTATGTTTTAGGGTAGAATGTGGCATGAAAAATTAAGCTATTGTTCGAAAAACGCATTCAAGACGTAAGATTAACTACCATTGATATTTTGCTTTTGTTTTCTTTGAGTATATTTTAGTGTAGACTATGGCGTGAAAAATTCAGCTATTGTTCGAAAAACGTGCAATAATCAGCAAGTTTAAATATAAAATCCTTTACAATATAATGGTTCTAAAATTTATAAAAAATAAATAAGGTATCTCTTTCGATATTACAGAAATTTGTGACTAGATAACAATAGGCAGTTTAAACCTTGTAGGCAACATTTTCTGTATGTAATTATGCAAATAACATAAAGCAGAAATGCAACAAACCAAAGCTTATAATAATTATAAGATAAACAAAATTATATTTTAATCGTAAATCTGTTGGAAGGATGTCATTCCTTTTGGTTCCATTTCATCAACAAAAGATTCTGAAAAAAATTGAAATGAAAAAGAATTTGAATACTTTACTATGTGGACAAAGCAGGATAACAGTGCAATAGAACACAGACAAAACAAACAATAATGGAAAATAACGGGATTAAAACAATCATGTGTTGACTTGGGGGATAACATGAGCGCCACCTGCACATCAATTTGTATACAGGACCTCATTATTTTAGCCTATGGAAATGAGGTAATTACACTTTCCATATAGGCAGTACACCTGACAGGTGAGAACCTGACTTACAAAATCCTAACTGTTCTAGTCGGCACACACATCATATATGAACCTAGAACATTTGTGTTGTGAATCCACTTTTGGTCCAATTCTGGTCAGCACACACATGATGTGAACCCAGAACATTTGAGTTAAACGTCCAGTTCTGGTTAACATACATAATGTGAACCTGTTCCCAAAACACACAAGCACCACAGCTAATCAACCAAGTAATAAAAAAAATATATTTTGTAATCTTACCCTGGTCACTCATAAATACAAATGAAAACATGGAGAAAGCTTCCGTTTGTTCTGGTGTTGTTAATTTATCCATTTGTTCAGTCAGGTGGTTAATGGCTGTCTCCATATCTGAAATATAACATTTGTATTAGTGAATAGTATCTATATTTGTATTCCATTTATAGGTGGCAGCCACAGTGGCTCAGTGGATAGGAAGTTGGCTTGCTAACCTTGAGGTCTGATGTTCGATGCGTTGGCCGAGAAAGTTCAATAGAACCCAATGTATATTTCAATTAGCTATGGCTTAAAGGCTCAATACCACTCTTGTTGTAACTAAATAATATGTCCCAATCTTTATTCTGGTCAACAGATTGTACTATTTTACAATATTCCAATTAATTGATGATACAAATTTCATCTTAACACACCGAATTTAAAAAATTGGAAATATTCAACTAAATGATTTGAAAAGCCTGACGTAAAGCTTTTCAAATGTGACTTGGATTTAAAAATATTTTTGAACCCTCTGGACAAGTAAAATGGGATTTAATTGATAATTTACACAACAGATAAGACACTAACACATCTAGTACTTAGAATAAGGCTATTTTTTTTATTTTCTGGAGGTGTCAAGCCAGCAAGAATGTTTCATCTCATTGATGTGAATAAATATTGGACCAAAGATTTATTAATAAAAATATGTTTGATTGTGTGTGTATGGTTTTAATTTTTATTGTAAACCTTTGTTCTTTCATGTTGAGGCATTAATATCAACTACTTTTATTCTCTAAAAAATTTCTATTGATAAACCATGTGCACAATACATGTGATCTTGACAAGTGATAGCTACGTACAGGGACTGATTTCCAGCCAGCCATTAATAAGCTAAATGAGCTATGTACCTGTCTTAATGATGTCACTTTTCTGTAGTTTATATAGATAGGGTTGTAATAAACTATTATGTTGCTGTAGAGATGGCACCAGGCTTGTTAAATCATCCGGCAATAAAATAGACACACAATGTAATATAGCTTGAATAATCTGAAACGTAATAAATAGATACACAATGAAATATAGCTTGAATAATCTGTAATGTAATAAATAGACACACAATGTAATATATCTTGAATAATCTGTAATGTAATTAATAGACACAGAATGTAATAAGTTTGAATAATCTGTAATGTAATAGACACAGAATGTAATAAGCTTAAATAATCTGTAATGTAATAAAATAGACACAGTGTAATATATCTTGAAAAATCTGTAATGTAATAAAATAGACGTGCAATGTAGCTTAAAATAAAATACATGTAATAGTCATTTTAACTTAATATATTTTAACTAAAAATTACTGTTCTGACCCTCAATCAACCCTTTGACTACCAAGTCCCTGAACATTTTGTGGCCTCTACACAAGGTTTCTCGGACCAAGATGTCTGAATTATAGAAAACAATATTACCTGTTCTGTGAGATTATCCCTGTATTTAAATTCCGCGAAGTCTGTTATATCTTCTGATGTTTTTAAAGCAACAATCAAACTTTTCCATACAAAGGTAAACAATTCCACATCACCATAGAAACTTCTGTCTTTTAGTGATGAAAGAGCCAGAGCAGCGTTAATTCTAACTTTAAAATTCTTACACTCTGTCACAACACTTCCTAGAGCATGTATAATATCAATCTGAAATAAATATTCATACTTATCTAATATTCATAATCAAAGAGGCACGGTCAGAAAAAAGCAGTCGTGTATCTAAAAATATTAGCTGAAAAATTATTCAAATCAATCAATTTTAATTTATCATAAATATCTATGTAGAAGTTGGCTATCAAAATCAATCAATTCTTACTTCTAATTTAATATAAGAATCAAAATGAGCTGAATATTAAAATCAATCATTCAAAACTTTGAATTTGTCATATGAATCAATATCGATCAGTTGTAATGTTTTAATTTATCGTAAGGATCTATATGAGCTGGCTATCAAAATCAATCAATTCTAACTTATAATTGATCATAAGTATCTTTTTGGGCTAGATATTAAAATATGATATAGTACTTACTGTCCATTGAGTTTTACCATGTGGTAAACCATTATTTTTAAACATATTACTGATAGCATAACAGGCATTCCATCTTACCTACAAAACATTTCAATTATATTACATAGTCGTTCACTTGATGGGAGCCACAATGGCAAAGTGGTAAGACACTGGCTTGCTAGCATGGATATCGCGTGTTTGATCCCTGCATTGGCCGAGAAAGTTCATCATGATTTTCTGACGTGGTTTCCCCTTGTTAGTGGTATGGGACAAAGGGCCTGACAAGGACAGCTGTCTAGTCATTTGGATGGGACGAAACACCAAGGTCCTGTGTATACATTGGTGTACACTCAAAAGATCCCTTGGCAACTGGAATTTGATATAAGAATAGGCCATAGTGTTGCTGCCCGGGCAAAATTTGTCTCACTGCACACTGTATGGTGTATACCCATCTTCATTAGCCCAGTCGGAGCAGAACATTTCATTCACTTGATTTATATTCCAATTTAACTGTATGTGTATTTATATGGATGACAATGATGAAAGAAGGCATGTTGATTGGAGTCGTAGCCCAGTAGACCTATACACCAACACCACAGATGGCTCTATTCACTGTGATGGCACTTTGAATCAATTCAATTCTCTGATGCGCCGTACACTATCTCGACACTTGAATCAATATTCTTTACAATAAATACAATATATAATTGTATTACCTTCATGGTACCAGAGAGAATATTTTTAACCAATATTTGTACACTGTTCTGTATAGCTGCTGTAAAATTACTCTTTCCTGAAAAACAATATACATAGAAATATCAAAACTTTCATATGATAACTATTTCAGTCTATGTGTTGTTAAATATCTACATTGGAGCTTAATGCAAACAAATGATATATACGCATTGGATGGATGGAGTGAAAAAATGAATGAAAGGCGAAATGAAATGAGATGGATGAAGTTTTAATATGAAGTAAGACTCAAACACAAAATGTTATCAGTGGTAAGTTTGCTATCTTGTGATATGAACTAAATTAATATCTATATTTATAAATGTGATTAACCTATACAAAATCCTCAGTCAACACCAGGATTGAAACCGGGACCTCCTGCTTAGTCAGCCAGCGCCTTATTCACTGAGCCAAGAACAGAATGTTTCTGAATAGTATGATATTAAAGATGCATTATGTAAGAGCTAAATCTGTCTAATGCAAATCTTTCTTTTGACCTCAAATGTTATATAAATCATTAATTAGACATTTATGTCAAGCCCATAATCAACTCTCTAGAGCATCGGATGGTTTAGATTTTCAACGGATTTAAACACGATTACCAGTTAATAATCCAATAAAAAAATGGATAATCGAGACTGCACTGTTTTTCAAATGGCCATAACTCCGCTCAGAATGAAGTAATGTGACTGAAATTTTCAACATATTCCCTTTTCATTATCTTTTTTTTAAAATATTATAGCGAGAATTGTCAGATCTTTATCTAAATCTTACATAATGCATCTGTAAGTATAGTATGAAATTAAGTACTGGTATAAAAATGCTATATTACCCAAACTTCTATGAGGCAGATATCTCAGAGCGTTTCCTACAGCTCTAACAGCATTAGATTTAACTTTATCACTATCTTGAGATGATTTGGTGGCCGTCATCAGTAGTTTTAATAATAACATATCAGAAAAATCTTCTATAAACTCTACAGCATTAGTATCTCTGTAAATATATACAAATCAACAATTCATTTGTGTGTATCTATGTAATTATAATCAAAACAATTATATAATAAATCATTCATGCATATCATTGTAAATATAATCATAACAATTATATAACAAGTCATTCATGCATATCAATGTAAATATAATTATAACAATTATATAACAAATCATCCATGTGTATTTATGTAAATATAATCATAATACTTGTGTAAAAAAAATTCACAGTATAGAAATCCTCGAACTAAGATGGAGACACTTTACCATCTCAACAAAATATGGAACAAACAGTGCATGAATGCAGCACAGACAATCCAAAAAATCTCTGACATGGAAGACAATTGACTATGCCTTACCCTTTAAATATGACAGTAACTTACTTATTTAAGACAAGAGCATCGCAGAGATTAGCCATGGCCCAAGCTGCTTTCATTCTGACATTAATACTGGAATCTTCCATACACATTAACACAGCATTAGCTGTATCAGCTACAAAATTTACATTCTACAAAAAAACACCAACCCATTCAGTTAATTATTTACTTAATCAATCTATAGAAAATAATTAGGAAGAAGTCAAGTAAGAGTAACCTGCTCTTCTTATAATTGAAATAATTGTATCTCACCCATTTTGTAATTTAAAAACTCAAATTTTCATTTACGGGGTACAAATATGGATTGTATACTATTCTTAATATGGAAGTTTCCCTGTCAGTTTCTATCGCATAAATCAAGACAGTTTATTATTATTATGGAGTTTATTGACATGAACTTTGAAGTCGGTTGGAATAAAATATGGAAATTATTGACCTTATTTCCTGAAGCTGACATTTTCTGGCGTCCGCTAAACCCGTCTAAATATGTGCAACAGGCAAAATTTTGAAACACAACCTCTGGACTGCAACCAATAAGAAATTTACATATTGGTCCTTTGGGGTTGGTAAAAATATGTAAGTTTCGGTCTCTCCAAGGTTATATTAAAGGACAATATTGGTGCCAGTCATTATCACATATTTGATAGAGCTGGTTAAACACATTCCAAATATAATTTTAACACAGAGATCATTGCTACGATAGCTGAGTAATACAGGTTTCCTGAATCGGAAGTGACGATAGCCAAAGGAAAACACGAGTCTTCCCTCTATATAACTGACTGATGTGACGAGTGATAACAGATACACGGCCGAATTTCTGCTATATAAACATAATAAAATATATTACCTCTTTAAGACAAGGATATAGAATATAAACACCTAGAGCTCGTACAGCAGCAGATTTAACTAGTTTATCATCATCATTAGTTAAACCTAGTACCAGTGTTATACACATTATTCTCTTATCAAACTATAATATATACAAAACAAAATATAACATAGGTTGCCAGGCAATATAACCAAGTCGTTCGAGCTGTTTATAAAGGTTGTGGTAATGTGAATATTTAGGTAAAATCTTTATCCTGGATATATAATATTATTGACATTTTGACCAGATTCTTTGACATAATGAATTACTCTATAAGTAACTATCAGAAATTGTTGCAATATAATTCTTCATTTTTACTAGCCAGAACAATGATTATGAATTCCAAGCTAATCAAACAATAATTATTTATCACCAACGAGTTTACAAGATTTTAGAAAGTGAATATGGGCCATAAGTCTAGATATCTATCTAAGTTGGTACTGTATGGTAATCTGAACACTTAGATATTCACAAGCAGTATCTAGATTTTGTCTTGTTTGAACAGATTTTGTAGTTTTAATGTGAATGCTGCTCATTCCATCTCCCATCTCAATGGACAGGGGGACCAGATGCAAGTTTTTCTACCATTAAAATTGTCACCACCGGAGGGCTTATAGCAGTTTCCAGCCACCACACCAACTACTTGTCACTATCCTTGTTCAAAGAAAGCCCCCTTCTGAGTAAGTTATATTTGGCAAGTTCTTGTCATTGTGTCAAGTCTTGAGTCATTGTCAAATTTATTAAACTTCCAGGTAGATCTTGTATTATAATAAATTTGTTATAAACTTCCAGGTAGATCTTGTACCGGTATTATAATAAATTAGTTAAACTTCCAGGTAAATCTTGTATTATAATAAATTTGTTATAAACTTACAGGTAAATCTTGAAATACATCCATACCAACATTTGATATACAATCACAGGCGTTAGCTCTCACAGGATTTATACCATCTGATTGTAATATACCAGGTAACGGACCATTTAAAAACGACATCCAGAATTCTAACATCTATATATAAATACAATATACGATACATAAATCATTGAAATACTGTTAAAAGTGTAATTGACATTTTATTCTGATGCTAAGGCTTAATGCTGGGTATTGCCTCTGTAGTCAAGTTATGACATGTATTACGATTCAGTCAATATTTACCAAGAAAACAACAGGATAAATGAATAATTGATATTTTTAGTCCTGCCATGTGTCAAAAAAATAAAGCGGTTTTATATCATGATATTGATGTGAATCAAAATAAGGACAAAACAATTTAAGAGTGTTTGTGTGGATAATGTGTGAAGTGGATGATTAAGAGTGACACATTACATACTGAAGCGACAGAAAGACATAAAAATAAGAATTGTTATACATCGATTCAGCGCCTCGCGATTCAATACATAAATTGTGAAGAGGTGAATCGCATACATCGATTCACAATATATCGTACAAGCACTACTAAGGCTACACCAAATTGAAATTTTATTTTCTGTAGAAATACCTATTTAAATGTTGCTAAATGTTTCTTTGGGAAAAAAGCTAATTTAAAAAAAGTTTTGTTCTTCTCAAAATGTTTCAGTTTGAAATGTTTCAGATTTTAAATTTCAAACCAAACAATGTTCATGAAACTCAAGTGGCTATATATTTATTTATCAAGACCATGAAAAACTAAATATAAAATTTGCTTGGCCTAAACTTGACAATAAAAATTTGGCTTTTAAAATTTTGGATTCCAGAAATTGTTAGAAAACAATTTCGATTGGTAGAAGAAACAAAATATCTTCTAAAATAAAAAAAAATACAAAACAACCATGCCAACAACATTCAGATGGGCTTATATATAACTAATGTTATATAATACTGACCTGTTGTTTTGTAATGGCCTCTGGTCCAACGTTGGTTGCATTTTGAAATTCTTGTAACATCACCTGACTCAATTCATCCAATAATTTAGTACCGTGTAATTTAACGACAGGATCTGTGTCTGCTAAACATGACAATATCAGATCCTTCATCAATATAACACTCTTTCTACAATAAATAAAATAAGATATTATATCAAAAAGATAATTCTTAAAAAACAAATCTTAAAAAACAAACTATTAAAAAAAATATATAACATAATAACTGAAAAATAATAGCATAAAATCTTTTTATAAAATCTGAAAAAAAAAGAAAAAAAATAATCTGGAAAAAGTAAAATCTTGATAAAATCTTGATAATTGATAAAATCTTGATAACATATTTAAAACATAAAATCTTAAAAGATATTTCAATGTTTTAGTTAGATTATCTGAAAAAAAGCTAACTGTGACATAATACAAAACTCAGTCTACTAACCTTAATATAGGGAAATAACCTTTAGTTAGATTGGCTAAAACTTGTAACGATTCCAGTCGAACAGGGATAGGTTCATAAACTTGCTGTGGAGTTTCCCATGAAGGTGCAAAATCATTCCGAACTGAAGTATCAGCTTTCTGTGACAAAACGTTCTTAATACATAATTTTATCACCCAGGATGTGTCATGAGCGTAACTCTGAAGGGTCTGATCCGAGAAAACTGGTGTCTGTATTCCTGTACATGCACCCAACACAGGAGTTCGAGATCCTGAATTGTTATCTGTTTTTTGATTGGTTGAATTGTTTTCAAGTGAGCCATTAGATGTGGAGGTTTCAGTCTGACTATTAAATCCGGAATCTCTTGTTGGTGTAGAATTGTCTTCTGATACAGAATTTCTCATTGTATTTTCTCCGCTATGATATATTCTGGTTCCGACTGGTGGTCGTGATGGTTGAACTATATGGCATATCTCTAATAATGGTGGCTGTATACTGACTATTGCTCCTAAACATGTCAAACATGCCACACGAACATTCGGATCTGAAATAAAAATAAAATAATGTAAGACAAGAAATGAATGTGTCAAGAAATTAAAGGAGCAGTTCCTGGTATAATTTTTGTGAATCAATACTTTAATTCTGTGTTGGGGACTCCTGGAAACCTAGTTTCTAGTCTTGTGCGACTATCAGAAGCTCTGGTCTTTTCCCTGAGAAACACAAATACTTCCATATGTATTGGTGAGTAGTCACCAAATTCCATACTTATCCTAATTGCCTGGATAGCCATGTCTACATGCTTGCATTAAGTAAACACTTAAACAATTGAACAGTGGGATTCTCTATGTAATGATACTAGTGATCACTTTCAGACAAGCCATTTGGGCTATTTCTTCAGATTGTTGTGGTCAAACTGATACTAAAACCCAGTTTTATTAATGAGTATCTAATGAAACCAGTGACTGCTTCTTGTTAGCACACCAATTATCATTAAAGTAACCCTTTTTCTAGCTGGGTGTTATCTTACTTACCTCTATGTTGTAGAAAATGTCTGATTTGTTTAACAGTTCTACTCAATAATCCTGGTTGTAATCTGTGATAAGGTGCATTACTCAATAACATACCAATACACTACAAATATACAAAACATGTCATGGAACAATTTGATGTGCCAAGGGAGACAATTATTACTTGATGTGTCAAGGGAGATAATTTGACTGGTTTATTTTTTGAGGGGGACCTGGTAATATTTTATAGTGGGATCAAACACTGCTTGATCTTGTGGCTGTACTAACTGTCAATGATCATTTAATCAATGGATATCAAACATTATAAAATGAATTTGCAAACAGACACATTTTCTCCTTTTTTTTTCAAGTTTGACAATAAAAGACATCTGGATAAGGCATCGTTCCTTTTGTCTTGTTTGTGGTGCAGCCCTCCTGCCCTTATATATAATATTATAAAAATAAAATCCACATACTTTTATTAATTGTGTTAAAGTAACCGGATAGTTTTCAGCAACTAGAGCCATTAATAAACATCGATGTAATTCTTTTATCATGGATCCTAGTACAGCAGAAAATGATGTAAACGCTGATCGTGATCCCATGCTAAAACAGAACAATATAGGTTTCAAAACAAATTCATTCATATATATAATTAAATACTAGATGTGTCATTTGCTGTTTCATGATAAAACAATTATATATTATGACTTTTATCACAATATGTTAAATATATATTTACCTATCTTCAGCTGCAGCTAAATATGGTTTTGTTCCATCTATCATGGCTGTCAGTGTTGCTAAAGCTCCCATACGACACTACAATACATTCAAATAGTATAATATCAATCTTGTTTACTGAATACAACATAATACAAGGAATTTAAACATACACATTAAAAATTAAAGATGCCTTCCAGTGTACAAACTGCATTTTTGTCCTGCCGCACCTGGTGGGTGTTTTTCAGAGAGAGAGAGAGAAATGGGGTTTAACGTCCACTTGACACAAACTAGATCATTTTGGGACTAACATATGGGTTTTAATTTTATTTCAATAATTCGCTTGCGCAAAGGGGTCTTTTAGCAGTGGGAGGAAACTGGAGGACCCGGAGAAAACCCACAAGGTTGGACAGGCGACCCTACTCCTTGCCACGTACAACCAGGGATTCGAAACCACGCCAGTTGACTCAATGACAGACTTTATGGTACAGCGCACACATGCTAACCATTCAGGGAATCTAGTATTTTTCTAGTAAGATTGAGAGTCTCTACTTTCCATCTATACCAAATATGCCATTCTTTTATTGAAAATAAACACTAGATAGATACTTTAGTGGAAATTTATCTTTAAAATCTTCCTTTAGTATGTTTTTAAGTTATTGAGTAATCAGATTGAGTTATCTACCTTAGGTGCTGGATCTTTAAGTATAGAAGTAAATAAAGTTTGTGATTGTGTGGCATTGGTTCCTGATATAACATCTGGTATAAAAGATGACCAATAACCAAATATTATTTTTTTATCTGTATTCTGAAATAATAATGAAACAAATTCTCTACATACATGTACAAGATACTACCAGTCTCCATTAATTAAAGTCTAGTTTAAAGCCCCTCTTTTCTTCTCTACCAATATCTATTTCAATGATTGATACTTAGTGATTTATTTATTCATCAATTATTATTGATCAATAAATTTGACAGTCTCCCTAATGAAAAAGGGTTCTGTATGCCTAACAACTGACTTTGAAAAATCAAGCCATGGAGGCACATCTAATTACAATCTGGCGCAGATATAATAATTACCTTTATAATAGTATGTAGGCAATTCAGTGCACACTGTCGAACTTTAGTATACGCAGAGCGAACTCTCGATGACTGTCCAGCCTCTGTATCAGAATATTCAGAATCAGAACTATGGAATTTGGCCCATGAGGGTCTTAAAGGAATGGAATCCTCTTCATTTCCTTTAGCAGTATTTTTAATCTCTGGCTTTTCTAAACTTTTTTCCACTTGAGCAGTTTCTGATTTTTCTTGTTTCTTTTTCCGATTTTTCTTTCCCTTGTTTTTTCCAGATTCTTTGTGGGAATCTGTGTCCTTCTGTTCAGTATCGGTCGCCGTCTGTTTAGCAGCAGGTTTTGCTGGATTTGGATCATACTGACTTAGAGGGGTTGGACACAGACTTTCAGGAATATGTGTAGGCTGACTACCTAATCCATGATGTATGTAGGCCTACAATATAATAAATACAATACACATGACCGTGTGGTTCCCCCTTGTCAGTGATGCAGGACGGAGGGCCTGACAAGGAAAGCTGTCTAGTCGTTCGGATGGGACAAAAAAAAACCCTGAAGTCCCCTGTACACATTGGCGTGCACGTAAAAGATCCCTTGACAGTTGGAATTCTATATAAGAGTAGGCAGTAGTGCTGCTGTCCGAGCAAAATTTCCCTCATAGCACACTGTATGCCCGTCTTCATTAGCCCAGTTCGGAGCAGAACATTAGGACATTAAACCCCATTTCATTTCATTTCACAATTGACCGACTAGACTTTTAACGTAACAAGGTATTTTTCTTGATAATTCAATCTGCAGCATACCTTTTCGACAATAATGTAAATTATTCAAATGAAAAACAAAGAAAAATCATAAAAGTATAGATAACACTTCATCAAAAGTCAACATTTTTTGCGTAAATGAATTAAATTTTGTAGAGATGGGGGGTAAATAAAAAAAGAGAGTTTTAAGGAATGTAATTTGCTAAGTTGCATGCATATTTTCAAAGGAATTTGACAAGTTCCACCATTAACCACTGGACAAAACATCCAGGCAAGTCTTAATCATTTTTTTCCTCACTAAAATGTAAAGCATGTTATATACAAGAATTGATATACAGATACACAATGAATGTACCAAACCTGTCTTATATATTCAGATAGTTATACACTTACCCTAACAGCTGCTAATAATGGTCCTAAATCTTTAGTAATGTTGATCTTTGTTGTTAACAGTATATTATGAAGTCCACGTAAAGCACAGATCAGTACCTGAAAATCAAACAGATAATAATAATAATAATAATAATAATAATACCTTGATTATTTTGAGACTAACATTAGGTTGTTATCTTTGCTATGGTCATGTGTGCAATGCTAGGGAACATTTCTGCCTATTCAATATCCAGAATTTGATATCAGTTCTGAAGTAACTGAATTTAACCATGAAAGAAGATGTTATATATTTCAAATTTACCTTGTTTTGAATATTTGGATCCATCTTGTGTTTAGGAACATTATGTAAAACTTGTATAAATATATTATAACATATAATACAATATTCCTCAGGTAGATAATCTTGACCAGGTACTCTGTAAATAAATAGAGGTAGTCTCTTAAATAATATCTATGTTTTATTTTTTACAAATATAGCAAATTATATAAACTATTGTGGTATTGAGAGAGAGAGAGAGAGAGAGAGAGAGAGAGAGAGAGAGAGAGGGTTTAATGTCCAGTCTACACAAACTAGGTCATTTAGGGACTAACATAAGGTTCAATATTTATTTCATTAATTCGCTTGCGCATAGGGGTCTTTAGCAGTGGGAGGAAACTCATGAGATTGGACAGACACCCTACTTCATGCCAATTTACTCAATGATAGACCTTATGATCTAAAGTGCACAAGTTAAACCATTTAGCATTCTCCCTGGGCTATATATAAGTACATGGATGGGTTTTATGTTCAAACTATCTCTTTTTTCAGCTGTAAGTATTAATGTGTTTTGTGAATGGGGCATAGGTTGTCTGTACAGTGACATATTGATCTACACTATCATTCTACTTACACAACTTAAATAACGATTAGAGTTATGCCCCTTTTTTTTCGCTAAAAATGTCCAACAAGAAAAATCTGAAAAAAGCAACACTGTTACACAGTGATCATTTATTTATGTGTACTGCCAATGAATACACGGCAACTCAGTTTTTTATACCTATTAAATTACTTCATGGTAAGGTTTTCTGAGTAGATTTAAAATTTGAACTCACTTTGTGGCAAGATTTTCTGGGTAGAATCATAAAATTTGAGCTCACTTTGTGGTAAGATTTTCTGAGTAGAATCATAAAATTTGAACTTACTTTGTGGTAAGATTTTCAAGGCACTGTACGGCACCACTAAATACATCTTCATCAATATCTGTATCAGTTACAAGCTGTGGTAATATTCCATCCTTACCCAACAATATATCATAAAACTACAAAATAAACACAAAGGAAATAAATAAATCTGTGTCATGAAAAAATGGAGGTAGAGATTTCAGACATCTCAATTTTTTTTTATGCCCAGTCAAAGGAATCTAAAGGCTGTGAAAACCTAATATTCATCTGAAGGTGATTTCCCTAATTCAGACTTGATTACCCCCCCCCCCCCCCCGATTCCTATGTCTTTAAATCATGAATATTCAAGAAAACATGGCAGAAAATGTAAATTCAAATATTTTTCTTTGATTTTAGACCGAAGTTAACCAATTATCCTATGCAAAAGGAACTATGACTGCCTCTGCTGTGCACAGTAAGTATGTTTTTACCTGGACTCTAATGCATTTACAACATGATGTTTTTTCCAAGAAATAAGAACATGTTATTTAATTAAAAGCATTGATGGGCTGAGTGCCAACTAAATTTTCTAGGCCTACTGTTATATTTATCGAAATCAGGGGGGACAACCCATACTAACCTTTGAAACTTTTCCAATATTATTATAAAGTACAGCTGTTAATGAATGTAGAATGTCTGCATGAGTCCAATTTGGACATCTTTGTAGAGCTGTAATTAAAAACTCCACCGCTATTTCAACATGATGATCATATAATAAGACCTGTATAAAATAATCAAACATAAAAAATGACAGTCTTGTTTATAGTAATTACAATAGAAGGCAGGTTTCTAAAAAAACAAAAATGTCTTATGTTAATTATCAACAGCTATTTCGTCAAATTTATGTTATTAATTTAAATACCCACCTGTTGTCTAACAGATAAATTGATGATGGTTTGACAAGCTTTGGTTAATATTCTCTCCTGATGGAATGGTATAGTCTTACACAGATGTATGATTAATCTGTTCCCATCCTGAAAAACAAAAGATAGGTTGCCAGGCAACGAAACATACGCCCACAGCAGCTAAATCGTCCGGGCAGTCAACAAGAGTTGTCGCATATTTTTACTTTTTTCGGTAATGAAACATTTATAATACACTAAAATCTGATTAAGAGCAACAACTCAGAAAACCATTAGAATTTGTTTGGTTTTTATAAAGTTCTGCCCCATGCTAACGTTTTGTATACAAAACTTTTAATACTGTATCATGGATTTAGCTGTTCCAAGTCATAAAAATTCATTGAAAATCAATATACTTGTTCGCCTCAAGATCTTAAAACTCGGTGTATCAATCTGAAGTCAATCAAATATTAACTTTGGCCTCTAGGGTGTCCACAAGATTTTTCAAAGTGATCAAGGGCCATAACTTTGGCAGTAATTATCAGAAATCTTTGAAAATCAATAGGATTCTTCGCCTCGTGACCTCAAACACTGTGTATAAATTTAAAGTCAATGAGATTAACTTTAGCCTTTAGAGCATCCACAAGGTTTTTTGAAGTGATCAAGGGCCATAACTCTGGCAGTAATTATCGAAAATCACTGAAAATCAATTGGCTTCTTCGTCTCATATCCTTAAACACTGTGTATAAATTTAAAGTCAATCGGATATTAACTTTGGCCTCTAGAGCGTCCACAAGATTTTTTGAAGTGATCAAGGGCCATAACTCTGGCAGTAATTATCGGAAATCGCTGAAAATCAATAGGCTTCTTCGTCTTATGACCTTAAACACTGTGTATAAATTTAAAGTCAATCGGATATTAACTTTGGCCTCTAGAGCGTCCACAAGATTTTTTGAAGTGATCAAGGGCCATAACTCTGGCAGTAATTATCGGAAATCGCTGAAAATCAATAGGCTTCTTCGTCTTATGACCTTAAACACTGTGTATAAATTTAAAGTCAATCGGATATTAACTTTGGCCTCTAGAGCGTCCACAAGATTTTTTGAAGTGATCAAGGGCCATAACTCTAGCAGTAATTATCGGAAATCGCTGAAAATCAATAGGCTTCTTCGTCTCACGACCTTAAACACTGTGTATAAATTTAAAGTCAATCGGATATTAACTTTAGCCTCTAGAGCGTCCACAAGCAATTGTGGACGCCGGACCGCCGGCCGGACGGCCGGACGCACGGGGGCGACAACAATATATACGACCACATTTCAATGTGGGCGTATAAAAATTCAAAATCTTAGAATCTTAATTGAACAATATTTAAAGAAACATTATGGGAGATTCGATAATGAGTTGGCAGTTCTCACTATAATAGTTAAAAACTAGACAATGTAAAGGCAATTTGCTGAAAATTTCATTCAAATTGATCCACTATGAACCGAGAATTACGTGGTTTAAATTTCTGGCTAGCTTTGATCATCATTACTAAAGTCAGTCCGATAAACAGCATAGTCTCAATTATCCATTTAATCGTTAAGGAAAGTTATGCAGTAAATCGGCTCATAACCCACCAAAGATCGCAGGCTAGCAATGCCATCTAGAGTTGATTATGGTCTGGATAGGCTAATTAATGTCTAATAATAGTTTAGATAACATTTCAGACCTAAAGAAGGACCTGCAATAGGCAGATTTAGCTCTTACATAATGCATGTTTAAGTAGCCTGAGTTTTAAATGATTTTAGTGATGGTATAGTCACTAAAACTTAGAAATCAGGAAGATCATTGTTATTGCGCTGAATTATGTGCGTGTTATTGTTTTACAATGAAACTTCTTCAATTTGAATTAATATCCTTCGCAAATGGCTATTCCTGTAATTTGTTGATGTTTTGTATACACCCTTTTTATACACGGTACCGGAATCCCTACCTAATAGAAAATATAGGATTCTGAAAAAAGTGACACGCTTGCTATTTCATGGTGAGCATTTCATTTCATCCCACGACCGTTTCACCTCGGGCTGTTTAATCTAAAATTTACATGGGTCGTTTCATCCCACTTATTAGGGTCGTTTCATCCCATGATGGTCACATCAGTAAAATTCATGAATAAATTACTGTCTATGGATAAAGGTGTTGTCAAAATGAGCTGATACGGCAAAATGGTATTTCTTCATATTTGACACAAATAGGTTGCGATGAAACAACCCGAGGTGAAACGATCGTGGAGTCGTGGGATGAACTGACCTGAAACTATTTCATGTATCTTATCTACTAGCTAGGCCTACTTGCTGAAGAAAAATAATAATAATAATAAAAAACATTGACTAGTTCTTAGTTTCTACTTCCTGCCAGAAAACAATCAACGTAGAAAGTTAAAATATCGGACATTTCGAAGTTATTAACAGAATAGAATAGTCATAAACATTGTCATGTAATGTCATACTCGGTGAGTCAGACTCATAGAATTAGAACATAGCAACAGCAAAATCATACCTCTCGTGAAACTAAACTTTGGGAATAATCCACAGAATTCAATTCATCTAGTAAAACATTCAAATTGGTTCGACTGGAATCTTCATCTTTGTAAACAAATGTCACTAAAGATGTAAAACAACGCTTATATTTGTCGTTGTCGCAAAACATCTCTACTTCGGCGGCCATGCTTCAACTGGAATTTTTAAGGACCAGTCATTGTACAGTGTCAACCCGTCTCCATTTCAATAATATTTAACTCCAAACTTTTTAGTTTCTCAGTGACGGCAATGGCTATTAATCCTTAACAGAGTAGTCATTTGGAATTTAATTCAATTTTTCAAATACGTATTTACGGAATTAGATGTCGAATGTATATAGGCCTATACCACAATGACTCTTCCCAAAAATGGCTGCGCCCATGGTGAGACGAAGTTCTGCGCTAATAAATAACATTTTTAGCAATTATATAAGAACAAATATTTCAAAATGTAAAAGATCAATATCCATTTCAAAGGTTAGTGGTGGGGATCACACCTCGCAAACCCATTTTGGATATGAAAATATTCCCGAAGATGAAAAGGAAGAAAGAGGTAACAAACTTCCAGATTCTTGCGTTTTTTACCGGGTGAATAAATCGAAAGTAGTGGAATTTTTATGAGTTTATTTTATATGCCACAATACAGTTTGTGTTGCTACTTACTTTGGCGTGTATATCGTGAAGAAATTACAAGTAGCCTAACTTTCGGTAAATCAAATTTATCTAACCGTCAGCTTCACAAACTATTTGAGGTCATACCCATATTCTAATTATAATATTGGGGGGGTGGGGGTGGCCGAATGGTTAGCATGTGTGCGCTGTATCATAAGGTCTGTCATTGAGTCAACTAGGGTGGTTTCGAATCCCCGGTTGTACGTGACAAGAAGTAGGGTCGCCTGTCCAACCTCGTGGTTTTCTCCGGTTTCCTCCCACTGCTAAAGACCCCTATGTACGTGCAAGCGAATTATTGAAATAAAACTGAACCATGTATGAGTCCCAAAATGACCTGGTTTGTGTCGAGTGGACTTTAATTCCCATCTCTCTCTCTCTCTCTCTCTCTCTCTCATTATAATAAGAATTTACCATTGATACACCATATTTCCAAATAAATATCAAAATATAAATTCAAAATGTTTATTTAATGTTGTGAACAAATGAACTGATTTGGAGCACTGGTCTATAAAACATAATACAAAATCTAACATATAAGCTTATTTTTAAGTTAAAACTGAAGTTAAATTTTTAAATATCATTATTTTGCTTTACATGTTTGTGGGTTGTTTTTTCTTCTGCTGCAGTGTATAAAGTTTTTGAAAATGTTGCAAGTAAATATGATCTGATGAATGATGCCATGAGTGCTGGAATACATAGATTATGGAAGGATTATTTTATAAGCAAAATGGCACCAACACCAGGAACGCAATTAGTAGATGTTGCTGGAGGGACAGGTGTGTATTAACCAATATGCCATTCTAAGGCGAACACAGAATTAGTTAAGACTGATGTTATTGTTTGGATGGTTTTGTTTTTTCTCTTCAGTCATGCACAAGCAAATGAGTCAAGCTGGGTACATATTGACCCACATTATTTGGGTACTGTATATTATGGTACTACACTAAAATGATACCAAGTCAAGTACAGGCCAAGTTTCTAGTCATATTTTCAAAATTTATAATCTGTTCTGTGATAATTTTTTCATTTCATTCATTAAAAGTTTTATTGAAATATAAATTATACCTTATTCAAATTCAAGAAAAATTTGTTGTTCTATATACTGGTATTAAAAATATTTCCGGTTTCTGTATTCAAGAAGCTGTCACTTCGAGTGGGGAGAATAATGATATAGGTTGAACTAGACTCAAGATTAGTCATAAGATCAAAACAATTATGATATATCGTGATATATCTGTAACAATAAAGAACATTTAAAACAAATCATCTCTCCAATATTTTCCAATAACTATTTAATATATATCAACCCTCCAATATTTTCCAATAACTATTTAAAACATATCCCTCCAATATTTTCCAATAACTATTTAAAACTTATATCTCTAACTTTTGTTGATGGCACGTTTCATTCAGGTAATGTAAATGCTGGACAAATAGAGAAGAGTATGAGATTTATTTATCACCTAACCTTTTCTGACACACACAAATAAAAAAAAATATTTCTTTGGGTATAAATCAAATTCATGTAAAGCAATATCTAAAATTGAATATGAAAGATATCACACAAGCAGTATCTACTGAAATGAAAGGAATTGGGGTTTAACGTCCTACTGATCTGCTCCGAACTGGGCTAATGAAGATGAGCATACGTCATACATTGTGCTATGAGGGAAATTTTGTCCAGACAGTGGCACTACGGCCTACTTTTATATCGAATTCAAACTGTCAAGGGATCTTTTACGTGCATGCCAATTTGTACACGGGAACTTGGTTTTTCGTCCCATCTGAACGACTAGACAACTGTCCTTATCAGGCTGTCCGTCCTGCATCACTGACAAGGGGTAACCATGTCTAATATCTTTTTTATTGACCTTTCCTAAAATTTTGTTACAGGTGATATAGCATTTAGATTTTTGAATTATGTTAGAAATGAAGAAAGTGAAAATTATAATAATCAAAACAGACAATTTGATGTAGAAACTCCTCCAGAATTACGAAGCATTTCAGAATTAGATGAAACCTCTGAATCTGGAGAAGGCAAGACGGAAAAAGCAAAAAGTTTTGTAACAGTTTGTGATATAAATCAAGCTATGTTAGACGTAGGAAAATCAAAAGCAGAAAATTTAGGTTTTTCATCAGGTACAGTACTGTAAGTCAGCACATATATATATATACACACACTTAGGCCATATAAAAATAAAACTTTGGTTCTGAGCTTCTTTGACATGAAATGAGCCATATGATCTATTTTTATTTTTAAAAATAAACAATAAAATGGTCCTAATATTTCCCACAGTAAAGGGAAGTAACCCTATTAAATGTTTAGGATTGAATTCAGAAATGTCTAGAAGGCTCATTTATGATTTACACAACCCTGATAAATAGCCCTGAACAATCGTAAATTGATTCATTGTTATCAGGAAATGGTTCCCATTTATTTGTCTGTTTAATTTTAAAGATTTGTCAAATTAATTATTTTATGAATGAGAAAGAAATGAATGCAGTGATACACAAGGAGAGATGGAAGAAGCAGCATTCACATTAGAACTAGAAAATCTCTGCTTACTTCGGTAGAATGATCAAGTTACTGTTAGCTTACAGTAATGTTAAAATTTAGATATGCGTATCATGAGAATTAGTATGGTAATTGTACAAATGTATTCTTGTAAACGGCATGAATAAACAGATGATGAATGGCATACACTAAAGGAACCCTTGGCAGTTGGAATTTAATAAAGAGCAGGAGAAAACACTGTTGTCCGGACTAAATTTCCCTCATGGCACACTTCATGTCATAATCCCGCCTTTCTTAGCCTGGATGGTCCAAAACCTATTGCAATTCGTTTCGTTTGATGTGAGATAAAACTCTTTCTTATATAAAATGAAGTATTTAATTTGTATTTCAGAGACTTGTTTTATCCAAGGTAATGCTGAGAATTTACCTCTAGAAAGTAATAAATATGATGTGTATACTATAGCCTATGGTATCAGAAACTGTACACATATAGATAAGGTAGGCTTCATTTTGCTTGGTTTCTTGATGAAATAATTTGGCTACTTTGGCATTTTTTGTATAATATTTATGAGTCTGGATTCAGATTTAGGATAGAAAAAAAATGCATACTGAAGCTGTAAAGAATCTAGATGTGATTTGTTGCAACAATCAAACACACCTGGATGTGTCTATGTCTGGATTGATAATCTTTAGGAAACAAACAATATAGATTCTGTATTTAGAAAGAATCGAGATTTGGATTTGTAGCAATGAAACATGCCTTGAATGTGTCTATTTGTTTATAATCTATCCAGGTGTTACAAGAGGCTTATAGAGTATTAAAACCTGGTGGTAGATTTATGTGTTTAGAATTTAGTCATGTGACCAATCCTTTAATACAGCAGTAAGTAGATTCAATTGTCTTTTTTTCGAGGGATAATCTGATACTCAGAATACTGAAAAATATTAGATCTATTTGATTTTATAGTTTTCCAGCATTGATTTAGATATTTTGAAGTTAATCCTTAAACAAACTACAGTCTAATTTTATCTGCTTGTTGAGTGTTCAGTCGTAATCAGGGCATTTATTTATGAAAAAACTTTTATCTCCTATGTTGTTACTTTAAACCATTATTCTCAAATTACGTTCAATTTTGCAAAATATGAAATGGAGTTTAGTGTCTTACTTTCCTGTAATGACAGTGGCACTGAAGCCTCCTATCATACTGATTTCTAACTACGTTGCCAAGGGACCATTAATGTCCTGCCAATGGTATACAAGGGACATCAGATTTTTGTTTTATTATTCCATTTCGTTTTTCCTGCATCACGGACAAAGAGAAACCGGGCTGGAGAATCCAGGACCTCCATGTTAGTATGCCAGTGCCATATGACGCAGCCATAGTGTCTCCATCGGTCATCCATAAGCTTTATTTGCACATAATGGTATGTGTATTTCTTTTGTGAGATATTAATGCTCCAAACTCCTGATTTAAATTCATATTAAAGAATATTCAGGCAAAGATATTTGGTTTCAAAAACTTTTACAATTTATAAAAATCACCAGTTTTGTCAAGACCAATGTATTTTTTTGTTTCAGACTTTATGATAGTTATTCTTTTCAAGTGATACCTGTGATGGGCCAGGTCCTAGCTCAAGACTGGAAATCTTATCAATATCTAGTTGAAAGCATCAGACAATTTCCGAAACAGGTAGAAAATATTCTCAATTTTTTATCAGAATTTTTAATTGCTATCATCCAGTGGTTTGGGTTTGGCTCACTTTAGGTTATATACAAAAACATTTCTGGTTCTCAGACAATCCTTAAAAAAGAATCTAATAGGCATACTCCGCGCAGTGTTTCGTTTGATTAGAGCTAATCCCACTACTCACTGCTGTAAAGAAAGCAAATTCTTGTTCTAAATTATGACTGGTCAATAGTCTGATTAACAACCAATAGCTAACTTCGTAACAATACCAAACAGAGCTCCAAATTGGACCAAATGTGTTTACATAACGTTAGGTCATGACTCACGATTTTATTATGCCCAATTAACCAGTGCATATGCATAGCAGAATATTGCAGAAAAACTAATTGTGTGACAAACTGATATAATGTAAACAATATTGTTTTGAGACAAACAACACTTTCACCGTTTTTAATACCTTAAATCAATGTCCAAAGTTTTAGGGAAGGCCCCTGATTAAAAGAAGGGCTGTCATGTTGCTGTGCTTGGGGATACTATAGAGTTGATTGAATGGGAAGAATAGACACACTCCCTCCAAAGCACAAGTATCAGGAGCTAATCCAGCAATGGCCAGAGAGGGATTTCTCGGGCCATTGCTTCAGGAATATGTCTGATAGGAGGGTTTTATTAACCAGTATTTTGTTGGGTTTTTTCCTTCAAAGGATCATATATGTTTATGTGACTGGTATTTCCCTTCAGATGTTACAATCTTCAATACTGGAAACTTATAATTATATACATACAATTACAGGGCCACAGATAGTCACCTACATTTTAGTACAACATACACGATTTCAGCACAGGTTTTAATTTAATTTAAATTTAATTTTTGCTTCAAATGAAAAATATAGTGGCCTAAATCCGAGGAGAAAAATGATCTTTGAGTATAAGGTGCGAAAAGAGTGAATTAAGCTGATTTTCACGTTATGTCACAAATTGTTTGAGTGGCATGTAGTAACTGAATGAGAATGACACATGACACAATTATATGGGATACTTGTTACTTGAAAGTTTAATTTATGTTGACGTTTTGATGAGGGTTATCTCGTCTTTATCAAGCAAAGAATGGTTGATAAAGACAAGAGAACCATTGTTGAAATGTTGCCAGAAATATTCATTGGGGGTCAATGAATCCAGTTGGTCTTAGGGTTTAGAGCTACCCAGTCCACCCCTGACTGTTTAAATGCGGGGGTTAAATGCGGAATTGTGGCCATATGGTAGTAAACTGCAATCTTTTTAAAATCAAAACCGAAATAAAAGAAATACCAGCGGTCCAGGAGTGATTGATGGTGCCGGTTACAGGATTTGGTTGGAACAATGGAAGGGCAGCAGGAAAAGAGGACACAATATTGTCATTAGGGCAATGATGACATTGTCACAGTATTTCCATGAGTATAATATGAGGTAACTCTTTTGAAATGCAAAGGTACTTTTTCAGGGAGGGCACTTTTACAAAAGGGAGGGCACATATCCACCTCTACTCCAATATCCTGGTTGGAAATCTCATTGGATTTGAGCGTTATCAAATATTTGGAATGAAGCCAAACTAGCAGTTAAAAGAAATTAACATTTTATACTAGAATATTCAGCAGTACCTGAAAATATTGAATGTTTATTTATTTATTTTGGCAAGAACTCCCTTTTTGAATAATTAGACTCATCCTCTGTTTCATGAGGGCATTTCACAAATACATATTTTGGATCAGTCCATTATTCACTGAAAGGTGTATGTGTTTCCTTGACACGTCTGCTTATGCAATAAAAGTGTTACATGATGAGTTTTATTAGTTAATGTTTTTACCAGAGTAAGGTGTTCTGACAAGACTTCATATGTTTATTTTTGTGAGATAAGAGACTGATATCTATGTTAATGGGAACAGGTGGGGTTCCATTACATGTAACTTAAGCTGATAACATGAAAAATATTAATCATAACCATTATACAGATTTATTTATAGCAAGAAGGATATATTTAAAATACATCATAAGAGAAATATTAGAGATGAGATTTAGATTGCTTTTTTTGATAAATAAATGTATTTAAAAATTCTCGATCCACGAAATTTGATTAACTGAAATTACTTCTACTATAATGTGAGGGTACTGTGGTATGTGGGATTGGAGTGGATTACAAAATTTGAAAATTGCCTAAATGGTTGTTAAAGTGTAGAGGTGTTTGGTAAACTGCCCCCTTGATCCCCTCTCCTAAAAAAAACCGATATTATGCTGGTGACCTAGCAAAAAAACCCTACAATATGGTTGGACAATATCCCCTAACTGAATATTCTCATAACACAGAAAAAAAAAATGGATAATATTCTATAGCCATATTGGGGCAGGGGTGAGGTCTTACACACTACCCATACAATCTTAGATCAAAGCAAGGTGTATCATCTCCTAAGAACTGAAAAATCAGTGAATTTGCAATAGAGATGACCAAACCTCTCCACAGAAATATCTGTTACATTACAATACTGTTACATTATATTTCCTATAAAGGACCATCAAATGGAGTTGGGACCTATGCTGAAACATTGTTACAATGCCTAGGAAAGCATCAAATAATTGCAGTATTTTCAAATTGTGTGAATTGTAAATTATATCAGAAGATAATTCACATGACATCGATAAAATATTTTATTTCTTTTCAAAACAAACTTGGATTAGCCACCATCTGTTTCGTTAAAAAATTGATTATTGTAAAAATCAATGTATCTGAAAGTAGAACTAAAATAGTTTGTCCAACACACTCCAAATTTGTATGTCAGTATGGTATATAGATAGACTTATTTGGAAGAAATATATACAACATAATAAATGAAATAATTATATAATTCAGTATAAAACAAGGTTTGAACTAATTTGAAGCCCCTTTAATTTTGGGGCCCCTGGTTGCATCCCAGCCCCATTTTTTACAGCTCAATCTAATACCTTAGATAAAGTTAGCACTGTTTACGTCTGCTTAGTTGTCTTGTCAACTACTGCAGGTCCTGACTTTGTGGGGGGTTCTTTGTTATCCTTCTATGCCATTATAGTTCTCTCTATTCTAAATTTCATTTGGACATAGTTTCCCTTTTAGACTCTAGCTGTTTTGGCCTTATAGCAACAAATTGTGACAGGTGTTGTGTATATGGCCGGGTATGGGGCTGGAGGGGAGCCATGGTGGCTAAGTGGGTAAGACGCTGGTTTGCTAGCCTGGAGGTCGCGTGTTTGATCCCTGCATTAGCCGAGAAAGTTCATCAGGAGTTTCTGGCGTGGTTTTAAATTCAGTGGTGCTAGACGGAGGGCTTGACAAAGACATCTGTCTAGTCATTCAGATGGGAAAAAAACCCAAGGTTCTGTGTATACATTGACATGCACGTTAAAGATCCCTTGGCAGTTGGAATTCGATAAAAGTGTAAGCCATAGTACCGCTGCCTGGGCAAAATTTCCCTCATAGCACACTGTGTGACGTATGCCTGTCTTCATTAGCCCAGTCAGAGCAGAACAGTAGGACATTAAACCCCCATTTCATTTCAATTTTTTAGGCCCACATTTAAATGGGGTCGTATATTACAGGGTTCCCGCAGCTTCGTCAAACATTTTTTCAAGGATATTCAAGGATAAATATATGTCAAATTCAAGGATTTTCAAGGACATTTTTTAGCCTAAAGTTTTCATCTTAAAAATAACCAAAACATTACCAACTATTGTTATTATCTCATATTTAAAAGGAATTGAAGACATTTGAAACAAACTTAAAGATCTCAACTGAAATTCAAGGATATTTTCCTATTTCCACGAAATTCAAGGATATTCAAGACCTTGAAAATGAAATTTTAAATTTAAGGATATTCAAGGATTTTCAAGGACTGCAGGAACCCTGTATTACTGTCGCCACCGTCCATCCGTCTGTTGGTCCTGCCTCTACAATTGCTTGTGGACACTCTACGGACTAAAGTTAATATCCGATTTATACACAACATTTAAGTTCATGAGCTGAAGAATCCTATTGATTTTCAATGATTTCTGACAATTACTGCCATAGTTATGGCCCTTGATCACTCAAAAAAATCTTGTGGACGCTTTAGAGGCTAAGTTAATATCCAATTGACTTTAATACAGTGTTTAAGGTCATGAGATGAAGAAGCCTATCAATTTTCAATGATTTCCAATGATTATGGCAATTGATATTAAATGTTTTGTATGCTGAATGTTAGAACAGGACAGAACTAGAAGCTGAATGGGTTGTTAGTCATGGTGTGTTAAAAATGTTTTCATTTCTGACAAAAGGAGAAAATATGCGACAACCCTTGTTGACTTTCCCGACAACTGAGCTGCTGTACGTGGGCGTATGTTATGTTGTCTGGCAACCTATCTTTATTCTTTCTGGAACAACTTATATCACTTTGTCCTAAGGCTTATCTGTGGCAGGTTCCCAACCTAGCTGATAATGTTGTTTCACCTTTACATTTGGTTTATTTTGGTAGTTTGTCTAATATTTTTTATGTTGTTGTGAAAGACTTTGCCAGTCACTTTGACATTGTGGATTTTCTGTTATGTTTATATTCTTGTTTGGCCTTATCTGGGTTAATATTGTTCATAAAACTGTTATGGTGTATGTATTAAATTGGATTCAGGTTAACATGTATTAAATGAAATGAAATGGGGTTTAAGATCCCACTGTTCTGTGCTATTAAACATTGTGGATTTGAATGCACCAGTTATAAATATGTGTATTATATAACTGTATCTGAGTTATCCACAGGTCTAACATCCATGGTAACACAGTAAATCTTTGATTGTCAACTGGGTCATTATTACTACACCGCACCATGTAGAAAATAAATAGCAGGGTAATTTTCATATCACTTAAAAATATAAGCTAGATAACTATTTATAACACGCCCAGTAAGTAGCCTGGCATCCCAAATTATTATCTATAATCCTATGAATGAAATGTTGCCGATGTCAATCGTTATCACACAATAATTTTTTATCTGTAACTATAACCAATTCTCTACATGTGTCACACCTGGAACCTCATTTGTGATCACACAATATTTTAATCGTTTTCCATTCACATCTGAAATTTATCCATCAACAGGGCTCCTGATTATTAGCTACTAGCTGGATACCCGTCTTCTGTGACCTTGGTTAGGGTGTGCGTGTTGTATAATCAGGTCTGTCATTGAGTCATCTATCTGGCGTGGCACGGTGGTTTCCAATGCCCGGTTGTATGTGACAAGGAGTAGGGTCGTCTGTCCAACCTTGTGGGTTTTCTCCGGGTCCTCCCACTGCTTAAGACCCCTACGCGCAAGTGAATTATTGAAATAAAATTGAACCATATGTTAGTCCCAAAATTACCTTGTTTGTGTCGAGTAGACGTTAAACCCCATTTCTCTTTCTCTCCCCCGTTTATTGTGAATTTCAGATAACTTTAACAGCTAAAGTTATCTGATAACTGGTACATATTTCGTCTAATACGAAGAACTTTAAGCCAATCAAATTTAAATTATCTTTGATAATTACTATTATGGTCATTACTCTTGATCAGTTTTAGCGTAAGTAATTAAAGTTCTTATTACCTGTGTGTGTGAAATAGCTTTATTTACTGTTCGCTTCCACCGAAGTGATATCGAAGTCATATAAAATATCAGGTTTTATTGTCTTTTAAATGTTCTGGTTGCCTACAAAAACCTTTGTAAACCGCCAGATGACTTTAGCAGAGGTGAGTGCATGTTTCTTGACAATGTGTTAAATCTGGTACATTATTTTACCTATTGTAACCTGTTTAACTCTTTTATTTTTCAGGAGGAATTTGCTGAAATGATCAGGAAAGCAGGTTTTAAAATGGCAAAATATGAAAACATAACATTTGGAGTGACAGCAATACATTCTGGATTTAAAATTTAAATTAGGATAAAAATTAAAATTGTATAGAAGATGAGACTTGTGAATACAGTGTATTTATATATAAATTACTGAAAACTTGTTATTTGTGTGAATTTATCAAATAAAAATGAATGGTGTTGCTTGTAGCTAACCTATAGGTAAGGCAAAATCTCACTAGTGGATTGACCCTTCAAGACAAAAACCTAGCAAGTCTTAAAGAATAAATCCTTCTGGGTTTGTGGTCAGCTATTTTGAGAAGAATTCTGAGGACAACTAAATAGGACTTATTTGGATTTTTCCATAGGCCAAAAAATCTGCAACTTTTTGAACTAATTTTACTATTCACAATAAAGGAGATAGAAAAAGAGAAATGAGGTTTAACGTCCACTCAACACAAACTAGGTCATTTCGGGACTAACACATGGTTCAATTTTATTTCAATAATTTGCTTGCGCATAGGGGTCTTTAGCAGTGGGAGGATCCGGAGAAAACCCACGAGGTTGGACAGACAACCCTACTCCTTGTCACGTACAACCGGGGAATCGAAACCTCACAATAAAGGATTTTTCCTATAGATATTAAACCGCAAGATAAATCAACTGCCGACACTAGTGTGACCCAGTCCTTATTTAGGGGCGTACATATTGAGTTTTTTTAGTGGGGCATTTACCACAAGCTTTTTGGGGTGGGGTGGGGTGGGGGGGGATGCAGGGGAAATGCTCCCCCTTAGAATTTTTTAATCTATAGAGTCCCTGAAATGCCATTTTCTGAACTTTGGGGGAAGATTTTGCAGAATTCTGGTCAGAAAACACTTATGACATGAGTAAAATTGAGTACTACCCTTGGGAAATTATGTAATTTATTAAGAATTTTGCAAAAGTACTGTGAATCTGTGACAACTTCTTTTAAGGTTTTTTTTTTATATACTATCTGGAAGACTAATTGCTGCCCATTCCGAACCTCCATTTCGTAAGCTTTATTTTTGAAATTGCTGGTTTTAAATTTAATTGGTTATATAAAACAGGAATTGCTATGTGAAATTTATTCTTAGCTATTTCCCGCCCTGCTGTTAGTAGAATTAAGTTCCTGAATATGACCTGGCGAATATAGACAATACCTATATTAGTCTACAGGTATTTTTAATTAGCTCAACCCAAACTTCTAATTTTGCCTTAAAAAAGGGGAGAACATGTAACATTTTTCAGAAGAGCATGCACTGAATCCTTTACTTGTAGGCAGTGGCGGCGCCAGCCGTCGGTGGTTGGAGGGGCAAAGTCCAAGGTTAAGGGGCAAAGGCACGAGGTTTTGAAAAACAGGCTGCCAGAAATGCAGCCTGGCAGTATTTCATGCACTGATCGTTGAGGTAAAGTGTCAAACTAACGAACTTGCGAACCGCGACAAAGCCCAATCACGAGCGCCAAGGGAGACCTTCCACAGAAAATTTTGAAAAATAGACTGCGGCAAATGCTGTCTGACAGTATTCAGTCAGGCACCGATCGTCAAGATAAATAGATCTGACCAGATACCGTCCGTCGCCTGATCACTAGTTTATCCGACCAGAGAACAAAATGTCAAACGAACGGACTTGCTAACCTCAACGAAATCCCCTTGTGAGCACCAAAGTAGCCAGTCCTTGTGGGGGTATTGGGAACCTCCCCTAAAATTTTTTAAAAATAGACTGTCGGAAATGCTGTCTGACAATATTCAGGCGCCGATTGTAGAAATAAATAGAGCTGATCAGATGCAGTCTGTCGCCTGATCACTATAAGTCTATCCGACCCCAGAGAGGAAAGTGTCAAATGAACGGACTTGCGAACCTCAACGAAGCCCTCGAAAATTTTGAAAAATTGACTGTCGGAAATGCAGTCTGGCAATATTTCGGCATTGAGCGTCGAGATAAATAGAGCTTACCAGATACCGCCTGTCGCCAAATCACTACTTTATCCGTAGTGAGTGACTCAAAGTGAATGAATATTTTCGCCACGATATTTTGTGACAGACTGCCGGAATTGCAGCATTTCAGACACTGGTCAAGATAAATAGAGCTGACCAGATACTATGCGATATCACTTCGTTGGAAGCGGACGTTAAATAAAGCTATTTCACACATACTGTTCGTTACCAAATCATCCAAACTGCACTCAGCGATCCCATTCGGCAAACCTCAGCAGATTCCACTACCTCAAAACTTTGAATATCGTAAAAAGCACTTCCCAATTGATTCATGTGTTATAGTTTATAGTATGTTTACAGCAGGATGGGCTTGGTAAAAAAATCACTCCAACTCTACAACATGCAATTTTATGACTGAGTGGGGTTGTGGCATTTAATCACTGTAGAATTTTCTAAAATTATTGGGGGGGGGGGGGAGCAAACCCCCATTGTGACCGCCACTGCTTGTGGCGGAGTGTAACATACCTGACAATTTAAAAAATATCCTCTAAGTTCCAATGAGCCACTGTAAATGACATACGGTACCCAATAACTGACTTCCATCAAAATAAATTGGAGGCATTTCAACTCACTGGATACAACAAAGCAAACTTTCCCCCAAGATTGGGTACCAAATTCAAGAGTTATCCCCCTTTCTATGAGATAACCATAATTAACTTTATCTCATGGGATGACATTTTCTTTAGAAGCTGGGATGCAAGCACAATGCATGCAAAATCTCAATTGCACCTGTGGTTGACCAAGAGAATTACATGCAAAAAGCACCCTGAAAGAACACATTTGAATCCACATGCACTTGAGGGATGTGTTAATTGCAGATGGAGGAAAAGCATTTAAAAACTATTAGTAGGATTTTACACTTTTATATACTTGCTCTTCACATTTTATACAAGATACATAAAACTCAACAATGTAAGAAATACAAAATAGAAATTATAAAAGTTAAATAAATTTGGAGGTCATCGAACATAAATCACGGAAGCAACAAACTGAGAATTATATGCAATGACATTTGACAGCAGCTTTGCTCGACTTGTAGTTTAATAAAATGAAATGACTACATCAATGACATTTGCAGCAACCTTGCTCTGTACAGAGAGTTTAATGTTTGTTTCCATAATATACATATTTTGCTAAGTCCAGTCAAATAATTTATCCAGATTTGAAGAGCAGAATGGCAACTTGTCCAAGATAAAAGTAGATGAAATGCTTAGTTTCGTGGGTAACGTAGCTTCCAAAGTTTCTACCAACAATACAATGCCATGTTGGGTTGTACTTTTTGTCGAATTCTTTTTTAATGAAAGCAGCAATATCCTTCTCAATATTAAATTTTTCTAAGGCTTGAGATGCACAATCAATGGAATCAGTTTGCATATCTTCAGCCATATCGGCATTCTTGATAACGGCCTTTCGTTCCGTCATACTGAAAGAAACAAGATTAGTCTAATTAGTACATGTTTTTCTATTAAACATAAGTCAGTTTAGTACAATGGAATGTTTTTTTGGTCTAGAATGATTGAATTTAATTAACAATAGGCCTAACTGATTATATTTCAAATTCCACTATCTACAAGGACTGCCTGGTTTATTAGAATGGTTGGAATCAACTGCCTACACGGAGAACCGACTTAGTGACTATGGCAATTGGTATGACGTAGAGATATAATCAGATAGCTCAATAGATCTAATATAATATTAATAACTGAATAATTCTACAAAATATTTCAATTTTTTTGGTAGATCTAGCCCATCCTGTCCCTGATTCCTATTCCTACTACTACGTAGTAGGCTAGTAGTAAAGTGCGTCTATTCTTTTTTGGGATTATAATTCGACTGATATTAATGACTACTTCGTTATGATAGAGAAAAACAATATTATAATAACTCACCTGAATTTGTCTTGAATTTTTTTCAATGCAAAATATAATATCCTTCCCAACAACTGGCACTGTCTGTGTCTCTAATGAATACAGAAATATAACGTTCGCTATTAAAGACACTGGACCTCAATTCTGATTGGATGGCTTCTGTGTAGCCATTGGCTACTTTTAGTCTTCCCGCAGTGGTTTCTATCAACGAAAAGCGCGTGCTCTGTAGGTTACCAAGGCATTTATTGCTGGTTTCAGATAACTTCAAACAAGCTTGGACCCATTCATAATAATTAGACATACAACACAAAAGACAGTATCCATAACTGACAAGATTGGAATATTGCCAGATTTCGGTAACCAAAGCAAATGACCACTCCTCAACGGGATTCTAAAACATGCCTAACACGTTTTCTAGTCTGTTTTCTTGTAGGTCAAAACTGAACAGATTAAAAAAAATGTATAAGTTATAACATGGACCGTGTATAATAATAAGCCTATAATTATTACGTCTAGCTAGTTGCCCGTCTAAGGCGTCTTACGGAAGAACAATCCGGAATAAAAATATGTATGGAATGGAGCTTAATCAAACAGAGTCAGAAGCACTTAACATGGACCTCTCGGACCAAAATTGATTCCAAATCCACCAGTTTAAATTATGGTTAATAGGCCTAGCCTATAATAGAAGTTTTCATGTTCCGTGAATTAAAATTCGTGGTCAATGGAACGGGGGCCCTGCCCCCCCCCCCCCCACACAATTTTTGTTTATTAGCTGGTAGACATACACGTAGAAAATATTCAGTTAAATCACGAACAAAAAGCACACCAAGGTAGTTTGGTGTAACTTCGTCCGGACATGGGATTTTGGAGCCGGGGCGATAGCTTTGATTCTAATTGGATGAGACTGAGAGTGGTAAAACTTCGTGTAGTAGTTTCATTAATACATCAATACCTTGACTAAGTTCGATGGTGAGCATTTTCTACTTAAGCCTAGTCTGATTGGGGGGATCACGTGGGTAAGACGCTGTAGCTCGCTAGCCTGGAGGTCGGGTGTTCGATCCCTGCATTGGCCGAGAAAGTTCATCCAGATTTTCCGGCGTGGTTCTCCCTTGTCAGTGATGACGGCCGGAGGGGCTGACAAGGAAAGCTGTCTAGTCGTTCGGATGGGACGAAAAACCGAGGTCCCGTGTACACATCGGCGTGCACGTAAAAGATCCCTTGGCAGTTGGAATTCGATATAAGAGTAGGCCGTAGTGCCGCTGTCCGGGCAAAATTTCC